AAATACAAGAAAAAGGAAGAAAGGCAGGAAGGAAGAAAGGAAATGCAGGAGAAAGCAAGGATGGACATGAAAAGGGAAGGAAGAAGGGAAGGAAATAGAAAGGAAATAAAAGAAAAAGGGAAGGAAGAAGGGTAGGAAATAGGAAGGAAGGGAATACAAGAAAAAAGGATGAAGACAGGCAGGCAGGCAGGATCAAAGGGGCCAAAACAAAGAATAAGCTTCCAAGTAATATGTTCCCCTGAAATAAAATCCAAGGCTTCCATTGTCCATTAAAGTCTGTTTATTAGGAACATATCAAATTGGCAAGGACTTGGTGTAATTCCCACTCTGACCCGGATCCAGAATTACACCCAATAAAAAGCAAAAGACAGAAACACACAGACACACCCCAGTCACAACCTCCAATAAACTCTCAGGCCATCAGTCCGGTGATTCCAAACTCCATCGTCCTCCAGCTGCAGGCATCTTTTCTGTTCTCACGGGAAAGGAAAGCCACCTAGACATAACATTCCCCCTTTATCTCTATAACCCCCCCTTTCAACAGTTAGAGAGTGGCGAGCCTGAAGTAATACTAAATTCCTTCACTAGCAAACCTAAAAGCTGAGAAAAGGATAGACAAAGGCTACGATAAAAAAAATGGCTACACATGTCATTTTCAGAGTCGACACATGTTCAATTCCCTTTGCAGCAAACATAAATAACAATCACAAAATTATCGCTTGCCCTGTAAATGACAAGCCGAGGTGGTATATTCAGCCGGTTCGGGAAAACCGGTAGCGGAAATTTTGAGTAGTTCGGAGAACCGGCAAATCGCACCACCGTTTGGACCACTGTTCCACAGCTCTGTCCGGATGGGACTTAGGCCGCATCCGGACAGATGGAGGGGAGCAGGCCTTGAAAGGCTGCTCGGTCGAACCTCGCCGTGCTGAAGCTGCGCACGTGTGCCTCACATTTTCGGCGAACCGGTGGTAAAATTCTTTGAAACCCACCACTGATTACAAGCATAGCCTGCGATTCTCAGAACGTCCTCCCTCCCACTCTCTTTCACAGCTAAGGCAAACTCCCACCAGTTGGGGAGGCGGCGGGGACTCCACCTCCCCATCCAGCTGTGGATACTGGGCATTGTAGTGCCCGGCCAGACGGCGGGGAGGGGGGAGAAAAGCTGGCCCCGTCGCCGGATCTGTGACATCACACGCTACATCACAAGAGCCGCTTGGAATGATGGGAAAATCTTTAGCCTTGGCCCACCGCCCTTGGGATGATGGCTGGCCTGGGTGGGGAAACCAAAATGCCCTGAATTCCAGCTTTTCCCAAGCCCGGATCATGGCAAGATGTGAGTGGGAAAGCCGAGTGGTCAGCTGTGGCAGGGAAGAACCAGGAATGGACTTCGCTTGGGAATTTTGGAGGCTTCAGTGCTTGTTAAACTAGCTCCTAGGCCCCTTCCGAAGTCTTCTAAGTGGCTGGAGAAGGGATGAAATACCCAAATTCTATACGTCCTTCAGTCGTCCAGCTTTTGCTTCAGGCTGGGTGACTACATAGACCATATCCTGCTGCCTTTTGGCCAGGAATATCATTTATCGTTGCCTTGAGCAATGAAAGAGAATATTTGCAGCTCGGGGTTGAACTGCGGGGTCCTTGGTGGTCTCTGAGCTTGGTGGTTTTCTTGCAGACCTTTCATGACCCAACTAGGTAACATCATCAGTGCTAGAAGGGGATGGGGTTGGAGGACGAGGACAAGGAGGGGGAGGGGGAGGGGGAGAGGAGGAGGAGGAGGAGGAGGAGGAGGAGGAGGAGGAGGAGGACAACAACCGTAAGGTTCTTCATGCTCTCTGAGTTTGGTGGTTTTCTTGCAGACTTTTAATGACCCTACTATGTAACATCATCAGTGCTTTAAGGGGGTGTGATGATGAAAGAACCAGAAAGGTTGAAGGTGGAGGGCCGAAATTAAGGAATGGAAGAATTATTAATTTTGTCCTAAAGTCTGGAACGGACGGTTGAAGGAGAGAGCTGGGATCTATAAATGTTTGTAATCAATTAAACAGATTGAATTTTTTTAAATTATTATTTAGTTTGGAGCTCGGAAGAATATAAGATGATTGCTGGTTCTTCAGATCCTATGTCACAAACTCTGTATTTGCGTGAGGAGAAAACGGTATTGTCTCTTTGTTTCCTTTGGATTGAATTGGAAAGGGTACTTATTATTTATTTATTTATTGCTTATTATTAAATTATATGCCTCCCATCTTACTATCCAAAGCATTAAAGAAAGATGCGATAATGAATTGGTTATCAAGAATAATAATACAGGTAGTCCTTGACCTATGGCCGCAATTGAACCCAAAATTTCCGTTACTAAACGAGACAGTTGTTAAGTGAGTTTTGCCCCATGTTGTGACCTTTCTTGCCACAGTTGTTAAGTGAATCACTGCAGTCATTAAGTTAGTAACAAGGTTGTTAAGCGAGTCTGGCTTCCCCATGTGACTTTGCTTGTCAGAAGGTCGCAAGAAGGGATCGTGTGATCCTGGGACACTGCAACGGTCATAAGTATGAGTCAGTTGCCAAGTGTCAGAATTTTGATCCTGCAAGGGTCATGTGAAAAATTATCCTAAGTTAGTTTTTTCAGTGTTGTTGTAACTTAAAATGGTCACTAAATGAATGGTTGTAAGTCAAGGACTACCTGTAAAATAGAATTAGCTCATCTGGTCGTGTTTTAAGTCTGGTCCATCTGGAAAGGCTGACATCTTATTCCAATGAAAAAGCTATCTTGTTTCTAGTAAAAAGACTGATCCTAAAGATCTTCTAAAAGACAAAAGGGTGAGGGGCTCCTGAATAAATCAGCAAGGGGAGGGTATTCCCTAAGGAAGGGGCGGCCCCTGAAAAGGCATGTGTCAGCTGCCACCTTATGCTTGCTTGTGATTTGCTGCTACGAGATGACAGGCTGCCATGAACTGTGTGGAGGGGAAGGAAGGGGGAAAATGCTTGGGGAAGCGAAAGTAAACGCTGTATCTTCTCGAGATGCTGCCTCAACGTCACCCAGCTGGAAAAAGGAAGGAGCCGCATACCAAACTCTGCTTGGATTGGCTGTTAGGAAAACATTTTGCCTGAACCTGATTGGTTACATCGGGTGAAGCAATGAGAGACAGTTAAGGGAGGGGAAAAGTGGAATTTAGGGATTTGGGCACACGGTTTTCAGTTCTGTTCTATGCAATACTGCAATGCAGATAGTCCTCAACTTACGGCCACAACTGAGCCCAAAATTTATGTTGTTCGGTGAGAAATTTGTTAAGTGAGTTTTGCCCCGACGTTTCTTGCCACATTCGGTAAGTGAATCTCTGCAGTTTTTAAATTAGTAACACGGTTGTTAAGTGAATCTAGTTTCCCCATTGACTTTGCTTGTCAGAAGGTCACAAAATGGGATCACATGACTCTGGGACACTGCAACCATCATAAAGGTGAACTGCTTGTCAAGAATTCAAATGTAAATCATAGGACCATGGGGATGCTGCAATGGTCATAAGTGTGAAAAATGGTCATCAGTCACTTTTTTCAGTGCCGTTGTAACTTTGAGCGGTCACTAAATTAACTGTTGTCAGCCAAGGACTACCTGTACACTTGACCTCTAATAAACTACACACTATAGGAGCCCTGGTGGTGCAATGGTTAGAATGCAGTATTGCAGGCAAATTGTGCCCACTGCCAGGAGTTCGATCCTGACCGGCTCATGGTTGAATCAGCCTTCCATCCTTCCAAGGTCGGTAAAATGAGGACCCAGATTGTTGGGAGCAACAGGCTGACTGTTAGAGAGGGCTGTAAAGCACTGTGAAGTGGTATTGCTAAGAGGAAGGGAGGGAAGGAAGAAAGGGCCGTGGTGGCGCAGTGGTTGGAATGCAGTATTGCAGGCTAACTCTGCCCACCGCCAGGAGTTTGATCCTGACCAGCTCAAGGTTGACTCAGCCTTCCATCCTTCTGAGGTGGGTAAAATGAGGACCCAGATTGTTGGGGGCCAAAATGCTAACTCTGTAAACCGCTTAGAGAGGGCTGCAAAGCACTGTGAAGCGGTATATAAATTTAAGCGCTATTGCTATTCCTTTCTCAACAAATGGAGCCAAGAATCACTTCTGATTAGAGGTTGAAGCTGTCGCAGGTCCGACAGCATGCTTCCAAGATCCCGCCAGGTGGCACGATTTTAGGGAAGTGATCTGAATCTGGTGGGATTTAATAGGATGGGCAGGTTGTCAGGTTTTGATGCTAATTCAAAATAAATGAACTTCCAAACTACCGATCTTTAAGGAAATTTTCTCTTTATTCGAGCACAGCAACCTGATCCTGACTCTTCGCGGTCAGTACTGACCTTTGCCCCCCCCAATCCCTCTTAAGGAGGGATTACCTCTTAAGGAGAGTAACCAGGTCCTTGCCTTGTAAAATGTAAAGGCAAAGGTTTCCCCTGTCGAGTCGTGCTCATCACCAATTTGTGTCTACGACAACACCTCTCACAGCCAACTCGTTCTGGGACAACTCACTACAGTTAACTTGCCATAGCCAATTTGCCATGGGATAACTTACTGTGGGACAAGAATAATATCGAATAGAATAGAATAGAATAGAATAGAATAGAATAGAATAGAATAGAATAGAATAGAATAGAATAGAAAGAGTTTGAAGGGACCTTGGAGGTCTTCTAGTCCAACCCCCTGCTTAGGCAGGAAACCCTACACCACTTCAGACAAACGGTTATCTAATATCTTCTTAAAAACTTTCAGTGTTGGAGCATTTACAACTTCTGGAGGCAAGTTGTTCCACTGATTAATTGTCCTAACTGCCAGGAAATTTCTCCTTAGTTCCAGGTTGCTTCTCTCTTTGGTTAGTTTCCACCCATTGCTTCTTGTCCTGCCTTCAGGTCCTTTGGAGAATAAGTTGACTTCCCCTCTTCTTTGTGGCAACCCCTGAGATATTAAAACACTGCTATCATGTCTCCCCTAGTCCTTCTTTTGATCAAACTGTTCCTGCAACCGTTCTTTGTATGTTTTAGTCTCCAGTCCCCTAATCATCTTTGTTGCTCTTCTCTGCACTCTTTCTAGAGTCTCAACATCTATTTTACATCGTGGCGACCAAAACTGTACACAATATTCCAAGTGTGGCCTTACTTACCAAGGCCTTATAAAGTGGTATTAAGACTTCACGTGATTTTGATTCTATCCCTCTTGTTTATGCAGCCTAGAACTGTGTTGGCTTTTTTTGGCAGCTGCAGCACACTTTTTTTTAATTATTATTATTATTATTTATTTTTATATGCCGCCCTTCTCTGGAGACTCAGGGAGGCTTACAATGCGTTAAGCAATAGCCTTCATACTTTTGTATATTTATACAAAGTCAGTTTATTGCCCCCACAAACTGGGTCCTCAATTTACCCACCTTAGAAAGGATGGAAGGCTGAGTCGACCTTGAGCCTGGGGAGAATTGAACTCGCAGTAATTGCAGGCAGCTGGATGTTAAATGCTGCCTTAGTAGGCGGCATTAGCCTCCTATGCCACTCAGGCTCCTATTTACGGCTGGCTCATATTTAAACGATTGTTGGAATAGAATCATTACAGAAAGGATGCCAAAGGAGGGATAAAACGAAAGGCGAGCGACAAAATATCAAAATATCTTTCTCATTGCTTTAAATAATTAAATGGCATTGTTAATTAAAGGGCATTGTTAATTAAATGGCATTGTTGAACTGTCGCGACCCTTCAGCTTGCAATAAATAGAGTCACGAGCCAGTGCGAGAGTCTCGACGCCGACTTTGACGGAGTCTTGGATGACCGAAAGTACGACGTTGACCTTATGATGGAGACCATCTCCATGTTTTCAGATCCACAATCTCGTTCCAAGAGTCCCAGTGAGTATCGGCCGAGTTGAGGGGTTTGGCGTGAGGCGTGGGGGTGGGGGTGATGGTGAAGATGGGGATCGAGCAGCTCTAACCGTTGGGAAGTTGGGATGGATTTCAGAACTGGATCTTTCTCCGGGTTGGGAAGGTTCATTTGAGGTTCACCTTCGCAGCCCGAAAACCCAAGGACCTGTGCAGGGATAATCATCTGAACTTCAGAGCTCTGGATGAACAGAAAGAATTGGTGGAAGAAGACTCATCCCCAGCACCTCAACCAGTCGTGGAAGAGATTATTGTTCCTCGCAAGGTCTCCATTTTTATGTATTTTATTTACTTTCTACAAACACCACTATTCTCTATTTCTATTCCATTCAACAACACCCTTTCAACTTACTTTTACATATCATTTTTGCATCCAGCCTACTTAGATTAATAGCAATAGCATTTAGACTTCTATACCGCTTTACAAGGGATGCGATGGCTCAGTGGCTAAGACGCTGAGCTTGTCGATTGAAAGGTCAGCGGTTCAGCGGTTCAAATCCCTAGTGCCACGTAATGCAGTGAGCTCCCGTTACTTTTCCAGCTTCTCCCAACCTAGCAGTTCGAAAGCAGGTAAAAAATGCAAGTAGAAAAATAGGGACCACCTTTGGTGGGAAGGTAACAGCGTTCTGTGTGCCTTTGGCGTTGAGTCATGCCGTCCACATGACCACGGAGACATCTTCGGACAGTGCTGGCTCTTTGGCTTTGAAACGGAGATGAGCACCGCCCCCTAGAGTCGGGAACGGCTAGCACATATGTGCAAGCGGAACCTTTACCTTTATCTTTACCTTACTGCTTTACAGTACTTTACGGCCCTCTCTAAGCAGTTTACAGAGTCAGCCTCTTGCTCCCAACAATCTGGGTCCTCATTTTACCAACCTCGGAAGGATGGAAGGATGAGTCAACCTTGAGCCTGGTGAGATTTGAACTGCCAAATTGCAGGCAGCCGGCAGTCAGCAGAAGTAGCCTGCAATACTGCGTTCTAACCACTGTGCCACCACGGCTCTAATACATGTAGACCTCAAGTTATGATCACAAATGAGACTGGCACTTCCGGCACTTAGTGTGGGGGGCATTAAGTGAGCTGTGCTGAATTTTATGACCTTTTTTTGCCATGGCCATTAAAGGAGCCCATTTATTTAGTTGTGCGAATCACTGTCCAATCTCTTTCTAAAACCTCCAGTGGTGGAGCACCCACAACTTCTGGTGGCAAGCTGTTCCACTGGTTAATTGTCCTCACTGACGCTTTGCGCATGCATGCCTGCTCACATTTGCGAACCGGTAGCAAAGGTAAGTGAATACCACACCTGCATCCATTGTTTCTTATCCTGCCTTCAGGTGCTTTGGAGGAGAAGTTGACCCCCGTCTTCTTTGGGGCAGCCCCTCAAATACTGGAATGCTGCTATCATGTCCCCCCTAGTCCTTCTTTTCATTAAACCTGGTGGCTCAGCAGACTGATAGCATTGTGATTAACACCAGCTGTCTGCAATTACTGTAAGTTCAAATCTCACCAGGCTCAAGGTTGACTCAGCCTTCCATCCTTTCTGAGGTAGGTAAATTGAGGACCCGGTTTGTGGGGGCAATAAGCTGACTTTGTATAAATATACAAAAAGTATGAAGGCTATTGCTTAACGCACTGTAAGCCGCCCTGAGTCTCCGGAGAAGGGCGGCATATAAATCAAATTTTAAAAAAAACAAAAAACCAGCAATACCCAGTTTCTGCAGCCGTTCTTCATGCGCTATGAAAAAAGATAAGAGATTTCCCGTACAACATTTACCCTTCATAAAATATGCTGGCCCCATGTTTTATTTATATTTATCTCATCTAACATTCCATCTAGCGCGAAATGGATGGCGTCCCATTGTTGTTCCTCTCAACTGTTCTCATTTTTCTGCATCCACCATTGTAGGAAGAAAAAGAGGTCCAGATAAAGAACCAAGCAGTTCAACGTGAAGAGAAGGCAAGCGAGATGTCATCTAGGAGGACCTTGGACACCTTAGTCACACCGACTGGACCCATCATTATCTTGCTCGAATCAGGCTCAACCGAACAACTTAAAGAAGAACGCAAAGCTCTTGAGGAACCCAAAGTTGTTGAGAGGGAACTCTCACCGCCCCGTACTCCGCCAAAATGTGAAGCTTTGGCCGTCTTGCCACCACCTTCCGAAGCTCCACGTAAGTGTTGACTGTGTTAAGGATATTGTTGTTGTGTTACCAACCAGCAGAGTGTAGAGCACAGAGAAACATTGCTAAGAGCAATGAATAAGAGATGTGCAAACTGGTTTATCAAGTTTACTTTATAGTGAAAAAACAATCTCATAGTCTTTAAATCAATCCAAGTCTTTGCTAGTTAAATCAGTCCAGTGATACAAAATCTTCTTACCACACAAACAGTAGTTGGTTAGAATAACAAACTCACTCTGGTTCACAAACCACGATGGTAGCAGATCCATCCAACCGATGATAGCACAATGCTTGCAACTCCACACACAATGGTAGCTTATCATCAACTGAATACTTTACAGTACCTTTCTTAAATACGTTCACAACTAATTACAGCATGACTCAGCATTACAATGAATCAGCAGGAAAACTTTAAAGTCACACAATATATATTCATATTAAAGTCACAGAACACATATATTGCCTGGACAACTTATTAGGCTCAAACCATATCCTAACAAACTGTCGTTGAATAGCAGAGTTGGAAGGGGCCTTGGAGGTCTTCTCGTCCAACCCTTTGCTCAGGCAGGAAACCCTACACCATTTAGACAAGTCCTTCTCCAATCTCTTCTTAAAATCTTCCAGTGTTGGAGCACCCACAACTTCTGGAGGCAGGTTGTTCCACTGATTAATTGTTCTCATCGTCAAGATGTTTATCCTTAGTTTTAGGTTGCTTCTCTCCTTGATTAGTTTCCATCCGTTGCTTACTTATTGAAGGAAGGACATAGTGAGACATCTTCATCAGGAGTGATGAGGACCCAATAATTGAGATGGGATTTTTTTTTTTCAGGATCCGTTCCACTTCCAGACAAGATTCCACCAGCCTTCCCGCCTCCTTCTCCGCAGGAACCGAAGACTCTTCAATCAAAGTGCTTTGAGGAAGGCTCGGTCCTTCGAATATTGTTTGAGAGGGTATGGTGTTCCTTCCCTTTGAGAAATTCAGACTCATAAAAAATCATGAGCTGGGGTTGGGCCTTGGAGATCATCTGGTGGCCCTTTATTATTTGAAATGTTCTCCCAGAATCATGGGAAGGAAGAGTTGGGGATTTGGAATCTCCAAACTCATCTAGTTCGGATCCCAGGAATCCACGACTCCAGAATCCCAAGCAGATGGCCACCGGCATCAGTTGAAATACCTCCAGACAAGTAGCGTCTACCATCTTTGAAGGCAATCTAGTCCACTGGTGAATCCCATTATGGATATTGCCTTCACAGCCTTCTAAAATCTGGTCATTTCCATCCATTTTTCTTGTCTCATCTTCTGAACCCCACTATCCAGTCTTCTACATCAGGGGTCCCCAACTGGGCTAATTGCCACGGAGCCATGTGAGTGGCCGGCCGATGCATGTGCCTCCGCATGTGCACACAGCTGCACTTGCGTGAGCATCATCTCAAGTGCTCACAATCCCACTAACATGAGACTTGTCTCGGGCACCTGCGGCCTGACTCGCACGAGCGTCGTCGTGGACACCCGTGTCCCCACTTGCCTGAGACTTGTTATGGGTGCCCGTGGCCCCACTCACATGAGCCTTGTCATGGGCACCTGTGGCCCCACTCGCATGAGCCTCGACATGAGTGCCCATCGCCCCACACGTGTGAGCTTCGTCACAGGTGCCCATGGCCCCACTCGTGTGAGCCTCATTACAGGTGCCCGTGGCCCCACTCACGCGAGGCTCGTCATGGGCGCCTGTGGGCCCATTTGCATGAGCCTCGACATGAGTGCCCGTGACCCCACTCATGTGAGCGTCATCACAGGTGCCGGTGGCCCCACTCACATGATCCTTGTCGCAGGTGCCTGTGGTCCCACTCAACGTTTGCATCACTGCAAACATTTGCCCCTCCCACAAAATCATCCCCTCTTTCCCCCCTCTCCCTGCTCCGGGTTGCCAACCCAGAAAGGTTGTGGCACTCTGTTCTATATGACTGGATAGAAGTCATAGGGTTTTACTTCAACAGGGTCAAACATAGAAAGTTCTGGATTTGACCGCCATCATCTTAAATAAAGTAAATAGCAGGTGAAAGAAATGAAAATTCTCTTGAAAAGCAACATTCACACTCAGCAACCATCTGGTCCTTTAAGAAGCCAACTTCTTTGTCTTCTCCATCAGACCAAACCCGTCTTTGACATGGTCCCGAAGGGTCTTCATACTATCATACAAGAAATTGCATCGATGCATCACCCACAGACGGCGGTCCCAACCGAAACAAAGGTAGACCCACTTATTCGCATTTTGAACTCATTTCCCAAAACTGCACCCAAGTAAAGTCCTTATGATGGAGTACCCTATGTTCCCATTGTGACAACACTCCGGAAGATAGGCTTAAAATCAGTAGTAGGTTTCAACCGGCGGTTACCACTGGTTACCACTGGTTCAAGCATCTGAATTTTGATCACATGACCATGGGGAAGCTGCAAAGGTCGTAACAGTGAAAAACGGTCATAAGTCAGCTTTTTCAGTACCATTGTAACTTTGAACGGTCACTATAAACGAACAGTTGTAAATCAAGGACTTCTGAATACTTTTGATCTGATACTTGTGAAAAGCAAAATCAGTGGGGGAAGATGGATTCCCTTAATCATCATCATCATCATCATCTTTTAACGACCCCATAATTCCTTGCGGGTTGGAGTCTGGGTAACTGAATGGAGCTAGCAATGTTTAATGGCCGGATGCCTTTCCTGTCGCCAATGCAGAGTTTTGTTCAGCAGATATATTCTCATCGTGCCGAGAGAGAGAAATATCTGCCTCTACCTAGGATCGAACTCACAGCCTCCTAATTGTGAGGTCTCTAGCTCCACCTCTAGGCCACTCCTCAAGATGGATTCGCTTAATGACCGTGGGAGGAAAAAAAAAGGGCAACTACATCTGGTCAACCTACTCAACCCGTTTTTTTCATGTCTCTTCTCCCTCTTCCTGCTGCCTATCTTACTGGCCCAAGAAGGACGAAGTGGACAGCATTTTGGTGACCCACAAGGGGAGACTTTTATCTCAACGAGGAAAGGAGAAGGCTACCAGTGAAGAGACTTCTCTCTTATTGCCAGCTGAGAAGGAAAATTCTTCAGCTATGGCCACCAGCCTCAGCTCATTCGTGGTATCGCCCGTCGGACAGGTCTTTGCGGACACCATCGAGCGGGCGCTCAGTAAATCCGAGGAATGGCTGAATTATTACCTTCCAGCACCAGAGTCTAACAAAGGTGAGAAACAGGTCACCCTAGTTGAGGCTAAAGACTCCTCTCTTGGCACATCTTCTAACTCTTGTTTCTCCTCCAACGTTCATCGCTTTTCAAAACCCTTTCTCAGCATTATGGGCAGAGGTGGGTTTCACATATTTCTATGTCTGTCTGTCTGTCTGTCTGTCTGTCTGTCTGTCTGTCTATCTATTATCTATCTATCTATCTATCTATCTATTTATCTATCTATCGTGTTTCCCCGAAAATAAGACCCTGTCTTATATTTTTTTGAACCCCGAAATAAGTGCTTGGCCTTATTTTCAGGGAGGTCTTATTATTTTGGGGTGCAAGGAACAAGATGGGGCTCCTCTTGCCATCTTACCTGATTTCCAGCTCTGTCTCCCTAACCCTAACCAGAAGAAATGGCGGGGACCAGCTGTGCATGCATTTAAATATTTTTGGGGAGGGCTTATTTTTTGGGGAGGATTTATTTTAGGGGGAGGGCTTATTATCAGGGGATGTCTTATTTTTGGGAAAACATGGTATCTATCCATCTCTCTCTTCTCTCTCTCTCTCTCTCTCTCTCTCTCTCTTGTGTTTTCCCGAAAATAAGACCCTGTCTTATATTTTTTTGAACACTGAAATAAGTACTTGACCTTATTTTCGGGGAGGTCATATTCGGGGAGGTCATGCCCCATATTTTGGGGCATGGAGCATTTCCAGCTCTGTCTCCCTAACCAGAGGAAATGGCAGGGACCAGCTGTGCATGCGTTTAAATATTTTTTTGCGGGGGGCTTATTTTTGGGGGATGCCTTATTTTTGGGGAAACATACTGTCTGTCTGTCTGTCTGTCTGTCTGTCTGTCTCTCTCTCTCTCTCTCTCTCTCTATCTATCTATCTATCTATCCAACCTGTTTCCCCAAAAATAAGACCCAACCAGAAAATAAGCCCTAGCATGATTTTTCATGATGCTTGTAATATAAGCCCTACCCAAAAAATAAGCCCCAGTTAAGATCATCAGAAGACAGAGGCGTTTAGTACTATATTTCCCCCAAAATAAGACCTAACCAGAAAATAAGCCATGATGTGTCTTTTGGAGCAAAAATTAATATAGGACCCGGTCTTATTTTGGGGAAAACATGGTCGGTCTATCTATCTATCTATCTATTTATCTATTGATCTATCATTAATCTATCATCGATCTATCATCTATTTATCTACAAATAACTACCAGTACCTACATATAAGAATACAGTTAATATTTGAAAAAGTTTCTGTCATTTCCTTAAGGTGATGCGAGGTTATCCCTAGATTTAATTTTTAAAAAATTAAAACAAAAGCTATATTTCCGGCAAAGGCAGTATTTATAAATGGACAGATAATTACTAAAGTCACACAATTAATGCTCAATATATTAGAAAAGATGCCAAGCAAATTGAGTTGTTTTCCAGATACAAAATGAAAAGAACATGCTTTTAAGGAGCTCTTCCTTAAGTCTTCCAAGGTCATTCCCACTTATAGGTAATCCTCACCTTATGACCAATCACTTAGCAGTCAAAGTTACAACTGACCCAAAAAAAAAAAAAAAAAAGAATGTCAGACCTGCCAGCATTTAAACCTCTAAATAGAAATTATCCTTGGCTCCATTTATTGGGTTCCAGCAAAATGTTTTCAGAATGGTCACTTCAAACTGCCTTCTTCTCCCAAGTGACCTTGAAGCAGTATTTCGGGGAGATACAGCCATTACTTTCGCTTTCCCCTACTGTAAACTCCTTTTCCCTGCTGTGAACTCCTCCTTTCCTGGAGTTCACGGAAGATTACCACCACATGGTAGCAAAGCAGAAGCAAACGTAAGGTAGTAAGGTAGCTGACAAGGGGACTTACAACCTGGATTCAACGTTCCAACGGTTAAGTCCCCTCTATGGTCACATGACCTAACTTTAGGTACTCAGCAATATGGTTGCATTGATGGACATTTGCAACTTCCCATAGTCATGTGACTGTGTTTTATGACAGTTTTACTGAAAACCAACATTTTCAGTTTTTGGCAAAACCTCACCCATTGTGAATCATTGGTTCACTTAGTGACCATGGCACTTGCTTAATAACTGCTGTGGCTGCTTAACAACCACTGCATTCGCTTAATGACCATTGCAAAAAAGATCCTAAAATTGGATCAGTCACATAACCAACCTGTTTTATGTCTGATAGAACAAACGACCATATGGGCAAGCTCCATTACGGTAGTATGTGAGAGACTATCTCTACTATTACATCAGGTAATGTGATGTATTAGTAGCACACCAGCACTGTGATGTTCAATCTAAATTTTTTTTAAACACCAAAGGCCGCGATCTTTGACGAAATTCACTTTGATGCTTCCATATCAAGGAGATGTGTGATTGTGTTTTCTCAGCCATCCCAGGAGGAGCGGACACATCTATGCAGGATCTTTGCAAAGAAGGTTGTTTCATGAGGATCAACTCACTTTCGACCCAGCTGAGGAACCGGGCCTTCAAAATTGTGTTGCACCAAATCAAGGCAGCGCGTCAAAACACACACGAGAACCTCTCACTGCTTGATCAGATTTTAGAGATGGTAGGTCTGAAGAGAAGCTGGAAGAGGCTAGTCCCACCACCATCACATCCTTATTTCAAAGTTCTCTGTTATCGTATGTCCTCCATCCTTATTCTAAAGTTCTCTGCTATTGTATGTCCTCTATTCTTTTTTTTTAATTTTTTATTGAAAATCCTTATGTTTTCTACATCATATGTCCTTAAGTTCTCTACCATCATATGTCCTCCATCCTTATTCCATGGTTTTCTGCTATCGTATGTCCTCTATTCTTGTTTCAAAGTTCTCCACTACCATATGACCCCATCCTTGTGTCAAAGTTCTCTACCATCATATGTCCTCTATCCTTATTCCAAAGTTCACTGCTATTGTGTGTTCTTTTTTAAAGTTCTCCACTACCATATGACCTCCATCCTTATGTTTTCTACATCATACGTCCTTAAGTTCTCTACCACCATATGTCCTCCATCCTTATTCCATGGTTTTCTGCTATCATATGTCTTCCATCCTTATTCCAAAATTCTCTGCTATCATATGTCTTCCATCCTTATTCCAAAATTCTCTGCTATCATATGTCTTCCATCCTTATTCCAAAATTCTCTGCTATCATATGTCCTCCATCTTTGTTCCAAACTTTTCTGCTATCGTATGTCCTCTGTCCTTATTCCAAAGTTCTCTGCTATAGTATGTCCTCTATTCTTTTTTTTAATTTTTTATTGAAAATTATTAAAAATTACAGAAAAAAGTATAGCAATATGGATAGAATTACAGAATTGTATGTCCTCTATTCTTGTTTCAAAGTTCTCCACTACCATATGACCCACCCTTGTGTCAAAGTTCTCTACCATCTATGTCCTCTATCCTTATTCCAGTTCACTGCTATTGTGTGTTCTTGTTTCAAAGTTCTCCACTACCATATGACCTCCATCCTTATATTTTCTACATCGTATGTCCTTAAATTCTCTACCATCATATGTCCTCCATCCTTATTCCAAAGTTCTCTGCTATCATGTCTTCCATCCTTATTCCAAAATTTTCTGCTATCATATGTCCTCCATCTTTGTTCCAAACTTTTCTGCTATCGTATGTCCTCCGTCCTTATTCCAAAGTTCTCTGCTATAGTATGTCCTCTATTTTTGTGTCAAAGTTCTCTACCATCATATGTCCTCCATTCTTATCCCAAAGTTCTCTGCTATCATATATCCTCCATGCTCCATCCTTGTTTCAAAGTTCACTACCATCATACAGCTAGTCCTCACAACATTTCATTTAATGACCGTTCAAGTTGGAAGGGACCTTGGAGGTCTTCTAGTCCAACCCCAGCCTGCTTAGGCAGGAAACCCTACACCACTTCAGACAAATGGTTATCCAACCTCTTCTTAAAAACTTCCAGTGTTGGAGTATTTACAACTTCTGGAGGCAAGTTGTTCCATGATTAATTGTTCTCACTGTCAAGAAATTTCTCCTTAGTTCTAGGTTGCTTCTCTCCTTGATTAGTTTCCACCCATTGCTTCTTGTCCTGCCCTCAGGTGCTTTGGAGAATAGCTTGACTCCCTCTTCTTTTGGGCAGCCCCTCAAATACTGGAAGACTGCGATCATGTCACCCCTTAGTCCTCCTTTTCATTAAAGTAGAGATACCCTGTTCCTGGGTAATAGTTTTCATGGGGGTACTACAAAGGTCATAACTGTGAAAAATGGTCGTAAGTCACATTGTTCTGTGCCGATGTAACTTTGAACAGTCACTAGGTGAAGGGTTGTAAATTGAGGACCATCTGTAACCTTTCTTTCACGCTTTGAATAGTTGTAAGTCGAGGACTAGCTGTACTAATGCTTCTTTCTCTCTTTGCAGGTGGAATTCGCCCAAACCACGGGGAGCACCACTTTGTCCAATGTCCCACAAAAGCTGGCTAATTTGTGGACTCAATGGAATACATCCCAGGGTTTGCCCAACACACAGCCAACATCGGCTACCGTCAAAGAGTCCCTCTCTTTAATGCCTGAGGTATTTTGGTAAAACAGAAAACCCAAGTGGGTCCAGGTTTTATTAGTGGCCATTGGTGGGATGGGGGGCTGAGGGTGGGGGCGGAGCACAAGAATAACCCAACAGAAGGCAAAAAAGTCAAGCAGGTATCCAAGATTTTGCAGCTCGATTCCTTCTTCTTTTTTTGACGACGCATGGACAAGGCAGGGTTCAGATCACCTAAGCATGCCCCCAAGGCTTTAATCAGACCCCATTCGGAATACAGGAAGCCTTCAACTTACAACAATTCGCTTAGTGACAGTTCGAAGTTACAACAGCACTAAAAAAAAGTGACTTATGACCATGTTCACTCTTATGACCTTTGCAGCATCCCCATAGTCACATGATTTATATTTGGATGCTTAACAACTGACTCACATTATGATATTTATGGCATAGGATCCCCTTTTTACGACCTTCTGGTAATCATGCTCAATGGGGAAACCAGGTTTACTTAACAACCAGGTTATTAATTTAATGATTGCAGTGATTCACTTAACAAATGTGGCAAGAAAAGTTGTAAAACTTGGCACTTAACAAATGTCTCACTTAGCAATATAAAACTTGGGCTCAATTGTGGTCGTAACTTGAGGACTACTACGTGTCCGGTTCTGGAGACCTCACTTAAAAAATGATATTAATAAGATAAAGCGAGTCCAGAGACGGGCAACAAAAATGGCGCAAGGTCTGAGGGACAAAAGCTAGCAGGAGAGATTGGAGGAACGGAGTATACACAGCCTGGAGGACTAAGGGAAAAGGGACACATGGTTGGAACCTTTAAATATACAGTTAGTCCTTGACTTATGACCACAATTGAGCCAAAAATTTCTGTTGCTAAGTGAGACAGTTGTTAAATGAATTTTGCCCCATTTTACCATCTTTCTTGCCACAGCTGTTAAGTGAATCTCTGCTGTTGTTCTGTTAGCCACACAGTTGTTAAGTGAATCTGGTTTCCCCATTGACTTTGCTTGTCAAAAGGTCGCGGGGGGGGAGTCACGTGACCTCAGGACACTGCAACCGCCATAAATACCAGTCAGTTGCCCGGTCTCTGAATTTTCATGTGACCATGGGGATGCTATAAAGGTAAATGTGAAAAACGGTCATAAGTCACATTTTTCAGTGCCGCCGTAACTTTGATCAGTCACTTAAATGAACGGATGTAATTTAAGAACTACCTGTATTAAGGCTGTGAATAGAATAGAATAGAATAGAATAGAATAGAATAGAATAGAATATAGGATATGGAATGGAATGGAATATGGAAAATAGAATGGAGTGAAGTGGAGTGGAGTGGAGTGGAATAGAATGGAATGGAATAGAATAGAATAGAATAACAGAGTTGGAAGGGACCTTGGAGGTCATCTAGTCCAACCCCCTGCTTAGGCAGGAAACCCTAGACTACTTCAGACAAATGGTTATCCAGTCTCTTAAAAATTTCCAGTGTTGGAGCATTTACAACTTCTGGAGGCAAGTCATTCCTCTGATTAATTGTTCTAACGGAATGAGGTTCTAGAAGGCAGTATTTTCAATATTAAGCAAAAATCAAGAATCCGGGGGGAGGGCGGGAGGGCATAACCCCAAACTGACAGGAGGGAAGCTTAAAAGTAAGTTTAAAAAGTCTTCCCTCCCAGAAAGAGCAGTGGGAGCTTGGAATCAACTCGGTCGTCAGGAGCTGAGTTTAAACGTGTGTGAGGCCACCACGCAGCGGCTGTTCTAATGTAGTCAAGAGACGCTGACACGAACTTGTAATTTTATATAACTGAGGCAATCTGCGCTGTGATTGGTTGCTGTGGATGTGGGAGGGGGAGGGAGAGTTTCCCTTTTTTCCCGCCTTTTTCTTCTGTGGGCCGTGTGCACTCCGTCATTTACCTCAGGGTGCTGCTGTTTGCCTGACTATCTAGTATGCTGTACATAGAGTTGTAAAATATATATATATAAATATATATATAAATAAATAAGTATATATTTATATTTTATAAATAAATAGATTTTACAACTCTAGATATAGCAAACATGATTTATCTCAGGGTGCTGCTGTTTGCCTGACTGACTAGTTTGCTATATATAGTTGTAAAATATATATAAATAAATATATATATAAATAAATAAGGATATATTTATATTTTATAAATAAATAGATTTTACAGCTCTAGTTACAACAAACTAGATTGACTTCAGGGTGCTCCTGTTCGCCTGACTATCTTGAGTTGTAAAATATGTATAAATATGATATAAAAATAAATATATATTTATATTTCATAAGTAAATAGATTTTACAACTCTAGATACAGCAAATTTGATTTACCTCAGGGTGCTCCTGTTCGCCTGACTATTTAGTTGTAAAATATATATAAATATAATTTAAAAATAAATCTATATTTATATTGTTTAAGTAAATATATTTTATAACTCTAGATACAGCAAACTTGATTTACCTCAGGGCGCTCCTGTTTGCCTGCCTGACTAGTTTGCTATATATAGAGTTATAAAATATATATAAATAAATACGCAGTATATAAAAATAAATATATATTTATATTTTATAAGTAAATATATTTTACAACACTATATACAGCAAACTAGACTTACCTCAGGGTGCTCCAGTTTGTCTATCTAGTTTGCTGTATATACAGTTGTAATATATCTGTCTTCTTAAGTTTGTAATATATATATACATACATACATACATATATATATATGTGTGTGTGTATTTCTCTTTAGCCAGGTTCTACCTACGTAAACCAAGATATTATGCAGCCCTAGTTCAGTGAAATCCCAGAAACTAGTGAATTGTGATTTCACTGAACTAGGGCTGCATAATATCTTGGTTTACGTAGGTAGAACCTGGCTAAAGAGAAATACACATAAAACCTACGAAAAAGAAAGAAAAACATATATATATATATATATATAATATATATATATATATATATATATAGAATAGAATAGAATAGAATAGAATAGAATAGAATAGAATAGAATAGAATAGAATAGAATAGAATAGAATAGAATAGAATAGAATAGAATAGAAAACACAGTTGGAAGGGACCTTGGAGGTCTTCCAGTCTAATCCCCTGCTTAGGTAGGAAACCCTACTACACCACTTCAGACAAATGGTTATTCAATCTCTTCTTAAATACCTCCAGTGTCGGAGCATTCACAGCTTTTGGAGGCAAGTTGTTCCGCTGATTAATTGTTCTCACTGTCAGGAAATTCCTACTTAGTTCTATGTTGCTTCTCTCTTTGATTAGTTTCCACCCATTGCTTCTTATCCTCCCTTCGGGTGCTTTGGAGAATAGCTTGATTCCCTCTTCTTTGGGGCAGCCCCTGAGATATTGGAAGACTGCTATCATGTCTCCCCTAGTCCTTCTTTTCATCAAACTAGACATATCCAGTTCCTGCAACCGTTCTTCGTATGTTTTAGCCTCCAGTCCCCTAATCATCTTTGTTGCTCTTCTCTGCACTCTTCCCAGAGTCTCAACGTTTTTTTTTTAATATTGTGGTGACCAAAACTGGATGCAGAATTCCAATGTGGCCTTCTTTGCCAAGGCCTTATAAAGTGGTATTAACACTTGATTCTATCCCTCTGTTACTGCAGCCTAGAATTGTGTTGGCTTTTTCGGCAGCTGCTGCACATGGCTGGCTTATATACATATACAATACAATACAATGCAGCAAACTAGATTTACCTCAGGGTGCTCCTGTTTGCCTGACTATCTAGTTTACTGTACATAGAGCTGTAAAATATATTTATTTATAAAATATAATTTTATAAATTTATAGATAGATAGATAGATAGATAGATAGATAGATGAGAGAGAGAGAGAGATCAATAGATAGATATAGATGATTGATAGATAGATAGATAGATAGATAGAGATAGATAGATAGATAGATAGATAGATAGATAGATAGATATGATAGATAGATAGATGGATAGAAATGATAGAGATAGATGATAGATAGATAGAGATAGATGATAGATAGATGACAGAGAGAGAGAGAGAGAGAGAAATTGAGAGAGAGAGAGAGAGATTTTACATATATATGGAGAATTCTAGGAGTTGAAATCCACAAATGGTGACTGAGGAATCCTGGGAGTTGAAGTCCACCTATCTTAAAGTTGCTAAGATAGAAAACCCTACATCAGAAGATTAGAAGATTTCTTGCCACCCAAAGCAACTTTCTGATTTGAAAGATCTCCCGCACCAAAGCTAGAGATCCAATTCCTTTCTTTCTTTCTTTTGATTACTCTTAGCAACTGGAGATGAAAGCTTTCCTTCTGACCCGTGACCTGGCCCGGGAGCTCTACCACACCTATCACAACCTCTTGCCGCATATCTCCGAGCTGCCGGCGCACCTGCAGGAGAAGGTGACTCAGATCCACGAAAACCTGGAGGAGATGCAGGGCTACCTGTCCTCCAGCACCAACCTGAGGGATCTGCCCAACAGCATCGTTCTCCAAAGCCGGCAAAAAATAGCCACGGCCCGGGAGAATCTGGATGAGCTGTTGGAATTCATGGGAAAGAATGCGGGGTCTCCTTGGCTACCCCAGGCCAGTTCTTCTCCCTCAGGCAAGGAACTGTTGTATCATCCCACCCTCAGGCAACGAGAAGGGACCACCTCTGAGCAGAAAGTCAAGGCAGAGAGCACAGGGTCTCGGCAGTTTCCCCACCCACCACCTCCAGCCCCACCTCGACTGTAGCCTCCTTTGACCACAAATGCCAAACGTTGAAAGGCTGATGAGCTAGCGGGCTTCGGTTCCACCACAGAAGCCGTGGGAGGGAGACGGAGGTCTCGTAGGGCTGGGGAGAGGTAGGTCAGCTTCCCCTGGGCCAGCAGAAGGGCTTCAAGGCATCGTTTCCAATTAAAGACCCTTGGAAACCAGCAAGCATCTGCACGTTCCTTCAGGATCTCCTCAAACAGTTGTTCCAGCTAAACATCTAGGTTTGACGAGTTCCTCAAGCTGGTCAGCTTGAAGATGGGTGGACTTCAACTCCCAGAATTTCTCAGTTAGCCAGTCTGGCTGGCTGGGGGATTCTGGGAGTTGAAGTCCACCCATCTTCAAGATGACACGCTTGAGGAGCACTGCTCTAATACAGTAGCTACAGTTGGCCTCTTTTCAACTCAACCTAAGTTGAAGATGTTCTACCAACTCATGGCTGGTGGTGATTATGGACAGCAGGGAAGGTGATGATGGCCACCACTTGTGATCGCTTACTTGGCACTCACACGGGTGTACATAGGGAGAATCCTTCCATGAAAGGGCCCGTTGAGGCCATCCAGTCTCGACCCCTGCTCAGGGCAGGAATTCGAATTCAAGATGGCTGTCCAGCTTTTGCTTGAAGACATCCAGCAAAGGAGAATCCCAACAGCGATTGAGGTCCTGAGTTCCTCTGTCTAACTGTTCATAACTGTAGCCATTCTGCTTTTAAAGCAGCGTTTTCCTGATTTATTTATCAAATTTATATACTGCAGTCTTGGGCACTGTATTCCATAGTGCTCCTAATTTTGAGGAGACCAATTCTTTCTGTGGATATACAGATATTCCTTGGCTTACAACAATGTCTGTTTAATGACATTTCAAAGTTACGACAGGCAGGGAAAAAGTGATTTATGACTTGTCCTTGCAATTACAACTCTTCGTATCATTCTAACGGTCGCACAATTGCAATTCAGCTGCTAGCTCGCATTTACAACCAGCGGCCGCATGCTGCAGTGGCACAATTGCAATTTGTGACTTTGCCAGCTGAATTCCAGCAAAACAACGTCAATTGGTATGCTGGATTCACTTAACGACCACATGAGCCACTTAACAACCATGTGATTCACTTAATGACCATGTGATTTTCTTTACGGCTGTGGTAGAAACAGTTGTAACATCAGTTACGTGACGTCTTGACTTACGACTACACCGACTTACGATTGAAATTCTGGTCCCATTTACCATTGTAAGTCAAGAACTGCCTGTAATTCAGCCAAACCATGCACCAGGGATATAAAAAAGCTAGCAAAGCTTTTAATCAAAGCTGCCTTCCCAGAGATGCCAGCCATTTGGGAAATTTTAAGTTTTTCTGAATTTCTGTAGCATGTTAGTTAACGATCCCCGAAATAAAATTTGGCACCTCGGATGACATGATGATCAAATGAACACTGGGGGGGGGAGGGATGCACTTTGAAGCTCGGTCTGTAAATTGACCAAGTGATCTGGATTTTCCTGATCCACTAAAAACACAATTCCCCATCACTAGTGTGAAAACTAACCAAGCAGTTGTGCGAACGCAGCTATTTGGGTTTTACAGACAATCCACGATGCGCAGATTCCACCCAGATGTTTCAAGCAATATAAAGGATTTTGTTTTTCCCTACTGATACCTTTAAACCTTCCGATTGTTAAAGAGCAAAAGGCGAAAACGGACCAGAGGAGGGTCAGAAAAACAGGATGTACAGTTGGCCAGTTGGGAAATAAACAGGGAGTGGGTCGAATCACACACCCATCGCACTGAAATGGAACAAACACAGGGGAGAAAACTTCTCCTTAAAGGCCAGGAATTTAAAAATAAAAGTGAAAGTCCATCCGGAAAGACCTTTCTTTAAACAATGTTTTGAAATATTTTAAAACCCAAATGCACAGGTATACAACAGGTGGTATACCTGGCTCAATAGCAGTAACTGTGAGAGGGATCTTGGAGTTCTAGTACACGATCACTTAAATAGCAGTGTGTAGAAGCAGCCAAAAATGCTAATACAGTATAATCCTTGGTTGTATAAACAGAGGCATAGAATCAAAATCATGTGAAGTATTAATATCGCTTTATAATGCCTTGATAAGGCCACATTTGGAATAATACTGCATCCAGTTTTGGTCACCACGATACAAAAAGGATGTGGAGACACTAGAAAGAGTGCAGAGAAGAGCAACGAAAAGGATTGGGGGAAAATAAAACATTTGAAGAACAGTTTGCAGGAATTGGGTATGTCTAGTCTGATGAAAAGGAGGACCAGGGGTGACATGACAGCAGGGTTCCAATATTTAAGGGGCTGCCACAAAGAGGAGGGGGTCAACCTCTTCTCCGAAGCACCTGAATGCAGGACAAGAAGCAATGGATGGAAACTACTCAAGGAGAGAAGCAACCTAGAACTAAGGAGAAATTTCCTGACAGTAAGAACAATTAACCAGTGGAACAGCTTGCCACCAGAAGTTGTGGGTGCTCCATCACTGGAGGTTTTCAAGGGGAAACTGGACAGCCATTTGTCCGGAATAGGGTTTCCTGCTTGAGCAAGGGGTTGGACTAGAAGACCTCCACGGTCCCTTCCCATTCTGTAAAATATTGAGACAACAGGCAGAAATGTTTATGAGGGGTCCTTGGTGCTTTCTGAGGTTGGTGGTTTTCTTGCAGACATTTCATTACCCAACTAAGTAACATCACCAGTGCTAGTAAGAAATGAGGGTTGCTCTCAATTTATATTCTAGTTAGCAGCTTGCCCTGTCAGTGTTGGTGGGATTTGGACTTAGAGATTCTTTTGGCTGTTTACTGTTGAGTTGTTTGGCAGTTCGATTGGGATGTTGTTGACTTGATTTTTGGTCTGACGTTAATCTTGGAGTTAATTAATTAATTAATTGGTTCGATTTATATGCTGCCTTTTTCCGGAGACTCAGGGTGGCTTACAATGTGTTAAGCAATAGCCTTCATACTTTTGTATATACCTGCTTAGTAGGGCTTTCGCCCCCCCCCAAGCGGTGTTCTTTTTTATACAAAGTCCGCTTATTGCTCCTACAAACCGGGTCCTCGTTTTACCTACCTCGAAAGGATGGAAGGCTGAGTCAACCTTGAGCCTGGTGAGATTTGAACTTGCAGTAATTGCAGGCAGCTGGTGCTACTTAACAGTGGCTGCACTATGAATGCTCTTTTATGCTGATCTGGGTGTTGATTGCTGGTGGGAAGAGTCTTTTTGTTCCTTTTTTGGCTTGTTGATCATCTCTTTTGCATAGTCTGTAGACATTGTTAATGTCTATTTGTCAGTTGATGTCTGATTGGTCAGAGTGCCAGGCTTCTAGAAATCCCCTGGCATTTTTGGACTTGGCCTGGTCTAGGATGGTCACGTTTTCCCAATTAAAACTATGGTTAGGTCTGTCCATATGTTGTGAAGTTAGTTTTCATTGTGTCTTCTGACTGCCAGTTGGTGTTCACGGATGCATTCTGTGAGTTTTCTGCCTGTTTGCCCTATATAGTGGTTGTGGCAGATCTTATACTGTATGTTGTAGATGACTCCTGTTTTTCCTTCTGGGGCTGTTGGCCTTCTGGATCAAAGAATCTCTAAGACCACCCCCATTAACCCTGACAGATTGAGCAATAGCAATAGCACTTAGTGTCAGGGTTCCAAGTAACACCCCCAATGAAAGAAGACTCCGAGGCTTGAAGTTCCTCAAAGTTCCATTTTATTAGAGATGTCATATTGGCACATCTGGGAAAACCCGACTCTGAAAGCTTCCAGGTTTTCCCCACCCAAAGGAAAGTCCAGGTCCTTGCCCAGCACCCACATGTCCATTACATGGTCCAATCAAAGCACCGTCCCAACTGGAGATGCCTCCCAGTTCCAGCCCTCCAGATGCAGGGCAAGATGTCCTTGATTCTCTGAGAAAAGAATGTTATTATGACTACATATCACCCATGCTCCATACAATCCCCCCTCCCAGTTTCCCACAGTAGTAAATGTGGCAGTCCTGAAAGCCCAATGTAAAAGATGGTTCCCAGGCCTGACACTTAGACTTATATACCACTTCACAGTGCTTTACAGCCCCTCTTTAAGCGGTTTACAGAGTCAGCCTCTTGCCTCCAACAATCTGGGTCCTCATTTTACCCACCTCGGAAGGATGGAAGGCTGAGTCGATCTTGAAACCGATCAAGATCGAAATCCTACAGTAAGCAGTGATTTAGCCTGCAATACTGCATTCCAACCACTGCACCATCACGGCTCACTAGAACAGGAGTGTCAAACTCACATCGTCACGTCGACGTCACGTGACGTATCGGGACTTTTTCCCCTTTCGCTAAACCGGCCTGCAGGCCGGAAGTTCGACAGCCCTGCTCTAGAATATAAACGGAGAGCAAACTCCACACTCCCTCTGACACCGATGATGTTTGTGATAGTGGTGAATATCTGTAGCTTGGGTGTAGGATGATAGTGGAGGTTAATTCTCTGAGTTTGTGGGTTAGTTTCTCAATGTTTCCAGGCTAGGTAATATCTTACCTAGCGGAATTTAGAGGATGTCAGTGCTATTAAGGGCCTTCATGTGGTCAGTAGGTCTTGTGATGTGGAATTCACGTCAGGTGTGGGTCACGTCAGGTGTCTTGTGATGGGTCTTATGATGAGGAGGTCACGTTAGGTGAGGGTCGTTGGGAAGAAAAGTGCTTGTTGGGAGGGGGGGTTTGTGGTGGGACTTGAATAACTTAACAAAAGTATGAAGGCTATTGCTTAATGCATTGTAAGCCGCCCTGAGTCTCCGGAGAAGGGCCGCATATAAATCAAACTAATAAATAAATAAATAAATAACAACCGATTCTCTGGCTAGGTAGGCATGGCCGGTTGGTCATTCATTCATGTCACTCATCACACCCAGACCTGCCTCCTGGCCTCTTGTCTCAAAGGCAGAGGTAGGATTCAGCCAGTTGGGCTAATCCCACCACTGGCTGGCCCCACCCCGCCCATTTTTCAGCCTGTTTTTCAGCCGTTTTTGGGGCCATTTTCAGGCCATTTTCCGGGCTCTTTTCAGGCTGTTTTTTGGGCCATTTTCAGGCAGTTTTTCGGCCATTTTGGGGCCATTTTCAGACCGTTTTCAGGCCATTTCCTGCCATTTTTCAGGCCATTTTTCAAGCGTTTTTTTGGGCCGTTTTCAGGCAGTTTTTTGGGCTGTTTTTGGCCCAAAAAACAGTCGGAAAACGGCCCTGAAAACAGCCTGGAAAACAGCCTGAAATATGAGTGGGGGCGGGGCCAGCCAGTCTTGGGATTTGCCAGTTCTCCGAACAGTTAACAGAATCTTAACTACCAGTTCGTTCGAACTGGTGCAAAGCAGCCAGCAGCCCAACTCTGTTTTCATGGGTTGGTTGAGAGTTGGTGCCATCACTGATTGGCTATGTGGTTGATCCACCCACGCAAAACATCCCCCCCACACACAAAACCAGCACGTCACCTCCCAACTGATGTGACCTCCCTGTCATAGGACCCATCACAAGACCCTCACCTGACTTGACCCTCATCTAACATGACCTCCCCATCACAAGACCTACTGACCACATGGAATAAGCAGAACACCGACACTGACATCCCCTAAACTCCGCTGAAGATGTTACCTAGCCCGGTAACAAAACATTCAGAAAACAACCCATAAGCTCGGAGAATGAACCTCCACCCTCACCGATGATGTTACTTAGTTGGGTCATGAAATGTCTGTAAGAAAACAAGCAAGGACAGCGCAGTTCAACCCTGAGCTGCAAATATTCTCCTTTATTAGAAAAGTTAATATCGGGATCCCACAGTAGTGGCCAAAATTGTAGAAACCTTTTGGGAAAAGTGTATTTTTGAGGTTTGATGGCTAAACACTGCTTTTTTTTTTTTTGGAGTTTCAAGATAATCCTATTCCACTGCTGGAATAGCCTGGGAATAGCCCTAACCTTCTTAACCCAACTGAAAATCTATGGAGCCGACTAAAGAAACTTGTTTAGTCAGAAGCGACCCAGCAATAAAACCCAGTTAATAGAAGCCATCATTCAATCTTGGTTTCACATTAGAACAGCTGCAGAACTAAAAGACTTGGTTCGCTCCATGGGAAGACGTTGTAAGTCCGTCATTCATGCTAAAGGTTACCCAACTAAGTATTAACTGACATGGGGATCATTTTTGTATAGCTCATTTTTTCTACGGGGATCATTTTTGTATATCCCGTTTTTTTCTATGTGTTTCACTTTTCTTCTTTATACTGTAACTGCTATTCTAATAGCAAATCCTTCCTAAAATTATGGTATCATAATTAATTTCTCTGATACAAGATAGGTTTTATCAACCCCTCAGGTTGTTTCACCATGACTAGGGCAACTTGGCAATGGTGGAACAAAATGAATTTATATGCCAGGTTTTTGGTAGACAATATGTCAAGGTAATTAGTTTATTTAGTGTGCTTATCCAGGGAGACAGCATTTTGAAACTTACCTAATATTCCATGGAACCTAGATTAATCCTTTGGATTAATTTGTTTGTATTAGGTTCTTTGTTTCTTTTTTATGCCATTTTAATTTTGTATTGCATTACATTCCTGATTAAATTATCTTTCCATTGATATATAATTTTATGGCTCTACTGCTCCAAAAAAAGTGGTGTTGTTAGCTAGTTTTAGAAAATACGCTTTTCCCAAAAGTTTTCCACAATTTTGGCCACTACTGTAGAAGGAGATCTCTTCAGGAAGCCCATGATTCGGGTAGGTCATCTCAGCCTCGGCAGGGAATGAGGTTCTCTCCGGGTGCCCCCCCCCCCTTCCCCTTGGCTGGGAAGTGGGACCTCCGTAGCAGAGAACGGACCTCTGGCCATCTGTGACATCACCATGCTTCACAAGGGCAGCATGGAATGCTGGGAGTTCCTTGGACTCCAGAAAAGCAAGGAAGATGCTGCCATGAAGGAAGAGGTGATTTCCATCCATCTGAGGTGGCCGATGTGGGGGAACCATGGGTGAGCAAAAGCGACGGCTCCCCATTTGTATCCTGAGATTTGGGCAAGGAACAGGGATGGGTTCTACTTACCTTTACTACCGGTTCGCAACAGGGCCGCACACAGGCAGAAGAGCGTGCGCAGAAGACGTTCAGATGACGTCGGGGTCGGTGGGTGGAGCCTCCCTCTGGTTTTACTACCGGTTCTATAGAATCGGTCCGAACCGGGGGCAACCCACCACTGGCAAGGAAGAGAAATTCAGGGGAGGTCTGTAAAGTCATATATGGACACCAACGCTCAAACACTCTCCTTTTATAAACAGAACAGGACAATGGCCAACTCGCCACGGCCAACTCGTCCCGGGACTAGTCAACAATTCAATTATTTAAAATAATTTTTAAAAATTATTTTAATTTTTGTCATTCCGCTTCCATTTCGTCCCCCCCTTTTGCCTCCATCGTTTAATGATTCTAATCCGCTATTTCTTCAATATTAGTGTAACTCCTGTCCTGCAGTGAGCTGACCATGATGAGCTGGTATAGAATCTTTATGAACCAGACACATAGAGAGAGGTTCACGCCAGGGCAATCTGTATTAACTTCCGAAGTTAGATTTAGGGTGTTAGTTATATTTTTTTTTAAAAAAAACCCAGTAATTTTTCTTGGCTGCTTGTATCTGGCTCTCTCCAAAGGGGCTTGCAAAAATGCACACAATGCTGTCCAGGGCAGCATCATAATCACCCGCCTACAACTGTCACCTCCCTCTCAAGGCTGCCATCTCTCAGCCCACTGAAACTCTTTCGAAGAGACAGGTCCTGAAAAATTCCCCCCCCCCCCAAAATCATGAGAGAAGGAGGGGGGAAAATTAAAATTTGAAAGATGTGTGCGGGAACGGGCCCTTGAAGTAGCCACTGCTGCGTACACTGCTGCGTAAGTACTCTTTTTGCGTGCCCCTGGGCTAGATTAGTTGCCCTCAAGGGTTCCCATCCGCTCTAACGATTCTGCTGTTTCATTTCCTTCCTTTGGACTCCTCTCCTTTGGATGATGCCCTGTGGATGACTGCAGACCCTAACCGAGAACAGGTATGTGGGTTAGACCTGGGTTGTTCTGAAAGACACGAGGTGCAACTCACAGGAGGGATATTGGTAACAATAAGATCCACAGTTGGATAACCAATAGAATAAATATTTGTAGCTCAGGGCTGAACTGTGGAATCCTTGCTGCTCTCCGAGCATGATTGTTTTCTTGCGGACGTTTCATAACCCAGCTCGGTAATGTCATCAGCCTCTTCTCGATGCACAAGCACGCAGAGCTGCCAAAAGGCAGGAGTGGCTCCTCAGGAGGAGGTCTCCTCGAGAGTAAGGCTTGGAGCTAATTGGCCACTCCCTTAGCCTATTTAAGGAGGAACGCCGACTGAAGCAATTTGCAGGGAACAACTTTAGTTCATTCTCCTTCGTGCCTTGATCTTAGTTCTCTGCAAATTGCTTCTGGGCTTTTTGCCAACCATAGTAAGATTACAATTATTTATTCTTTGGATTCTTTTGGCTGTTAAGAAAGTTAATTAACAGCCTTTGTTTGGAAAAGACTGAGTTATTTTAGTTAATTTAAATTTTGTACAGACTTTGTGTGTGCTGCGTTCTTTGGGGTCCGTAGCTGGGGCAGAACATCTTGGAGGTCTTCTAGTCCAACCTCCTGGTCAAGCATGAATCCCTGTACCACTTTGGGCAAATGGTTGTCCAATCTCTTCTTAAAAACTTCCAGTGTTGGAAGTTCACAACTTCTGGAGGCAAGCTGTTCCACTGGTTAATTGTTCTCACTGTCATTTTGATTCTATCTCTCTGTTAATGCAGCTGAGAACTGCATTGGCCAAAAAAAATATATATTCTCAAGGCTGAGATTCAACTGGAAAGTCAAAAAACAGACCAGTTTTTTTTAAAAAAAAATGCTACCTCCAATTGTGGTTTGTTCGCCTTTAGCATGCTCTTTGGTGCAAATCCTGGCCTGTTTGGGCTTAATCAGAAAACTCTGATTAAACAAACCCCGATTGCCATGTGCAAACTTTATTTGCTTGTATTTGCCATCACCAATTTATTAATATTGGTAATGACTGGTTAGCACATCCTAGGAAACAGAGAAACCTGATTAAAAATCTGGTTTGGAATTCAAGCCTGCTTTCTAATTTGTCTTTCAATCTGTCATCCAGTTTGGGGACAGGGACGCGCAGAGCATATCAGACGACAATCAATCTTTGCAGGATTTGAATTACATCATCGATCAGCTGGAGCGGGAGGAAATGGAAGGTAAGTAAGAGGATTCTGGGAAAAACAAGGGAGGCTTCTGGACCAGGGGTGAAATGTAAAATTTGTTACTACAGGTTCTGTGGGCATGGCTTGGTGTGGGACGTAATGTGACTGGGTGGGCGTGGCCAACTTTTTTTTTTCTTTTAAAACCATTTTTTCTACAACTTCTTCGGCCGAAGGGGTTGTAAAAAAATGCTTTTAAAAGCCTCTGACGATCCCAGCTGAGTTGCCTGATCAGCAGAGGCTTTTTTTCTTTTAAAAGCCTCTGACGATCCCAGCTGAGTTGCCTGATCGTCAGAGGCTTTTTTAAAAAAAAGAAAACATTTTTTTGGTGGAAGAGGTTGTAGAAAAAATGCTTTTAAAAGTAAAAAAAAAAAAGCCTCTGATGATCGCGCAGCTCAACTGGGCAATGGGGAGGGAGGGATTTTTGCTACCGGTTCTCCAAACCATCTGCTGCCATCGCTACCAGATCGGGTGATCCGGTCCGAACCGGGAGCATTTCACCCCTGTTCTGGACCATAAAATTTCGGAAAGCAGGTAGTCCTCGGGTTACAACAGTTCATTTAGTGACCGTTCGAAGTGACAACAGCCCTGAAAAAAGTGACTTAATGACCGTTTTTCATACTTACGACCGTTGCAACATCCCCGTTGTCACGTGGTTAAAATTCAGATCCTTGGCAAGTGGTTCATATTTATGACGGTTGCAGCCTCCCGGGGGGGGGGGGAATGTCACGTGATCCACTTTTGCGACCTTCTGACCGCCAAAGTCAACGGGGAATCCAGATTCACTTAACCAACCGTGTTTTACTAAGTTAACCAAGGTGACGATCCACTGAACGACTGTGGCAAGAAAAGTCGTTAAACGGGACAAGCTCGCTTAACAAAGGTTTTACTTCGCAGCATCCGTTTTCGGGCTCGGTTGTGGTCCTAAGTCGAGGAGTACCTGTACTGACTTCAGAGCGCCAGGATATTTGTTGCATAGGGACGTCACGGGGGATATGACATCATTGGGGCTTTAAAGAAATGCCTTGGATTGACTCTAAGGCAGTGTTTCTCAACCTTGGTAGCTTGAAGATGGGTGGACTTCAACTCCCAGAATCCCCCAGCCAGCGTTGCTGGCTGGGGGATTCTGGGAGTTGAAGTCCACCCATCTTCAAGCTTCCAAGATTGAGAAACACTGCTCTAAGGGGCTTAAACAAGCCCTGAAGTCTCATTGGAAAGAAAGCGCCACCTGCTGGCTGCAATCCATATCACTTATACCAGGGATGGCAAACCTTTTTTTCCTCGGGTGCTGAAAGCGCATGCCCATAATGCAATGCTCCCCCAGGCCCCGCCCCGATGCATGAGCGCACAACCCCTCGGTGCTCCCCCAGCCCCTGCACATGCGTGCATGACCCCGCCCATGCTCCCCCCCCGTTTTTGTGCTACCAGGCCTCTCTGAAGCCTCGTGGAACAAAAAGGCTTCACAGAGGCCTGTTAGCACCAAAACGGGGCATTGGGGGGAGGTGCGGTGTGCCCCCCCCTGTTTTTGGTCCCAGCAGGCAGAGACCTGAAAATCAACTGGCTGGCGGGAGGCATGCAGGCATGTGTACCCAGGGCCGGATTTTCCTATAGGCTAACTAGGCTTCAGCCTAGGGCCTCAAGATCAAGAGGGGCCTACATTCAAATTGTTAGCAAAATTAAAATTACACTTTCACTATAGGTGAAAGGGCCTCATAAGTGGAATAGCCTAGGGCCTCTTTTCATCTAAATCCGGCCCTGTGTGTACCCCTCCATGGCTTAGGACCTGGTTATTTACAGGACCGTCTACTACCACCAATAGCCTCCCACTGGCCGGTACGCTCTCATAGAGAGGGGCTCCTCCGGGTGCCGTCGGCCAAACAATGTCGACTGGCGGCCCCTAGGGGGAGAGCCTTCTCAGTGGGGGCACCTACTATCTGGAACGAGCTCCCCCCGGAGATACGGAGGATCCCGGATCTGCGCACCTTCCGCCACGCTCTCAAGACCTTTTTAATTCCACTAGGCGGGCCTGGCCTAATCTTTTTCCCTCTTTCTAATTATGCAAATTTTAATTGGTTTTTAAATGATTGGGGTGTTTTAATTCGTCTGGGCCAAATTGTTTAATTCGATTTTACTTTGTTTTTTAAATTTTGTATCTATGTATTTTTACTGTTTGGCTGTTCACTGCCCTGAGTCCTTCGGGAGTAGGGCAGTATATAAATCAAATAAATAAAAATAAATAAACAAATACATGTGTGGTGGAGTGACCTGGGCGTTGGCTCGTGTGCCGACAGAGATGGCTCTGCGTGCCTGCGTGACTAGTTCTTTAGTCGGCTCCATTGATTTTCAATTATTATTATTATTATTATTATTAATTATTATTATTATTATTATTATTATTATTATTATTATTATTATTATTATTATTATTTATTGGTTAATCTTTAGTGAGATTCACAGCCTTTGAGGCTGGTTAATAGCTCAGCAGCTCGAGTCCTAACCAAGGACCTAGGAACTGTTAAGGTATCGTCAGAGGATGTAAGCTGTTCCGAGTAAGGTGGTTTTTTGGAGAGTCAAAATGTTCAAGTCCGGCAAATTTAGAATTTCTAGCGGGGTAGCCTTTTGGGTATTGCTCCGAGGGCTCCAATTACAATCGGGACAACACACGATTTCTTTTTCCACAGTCGCTCAACTTCAATTTGTAAGTCCCGGTACTTTGTGATTTTTTCTTGCTGCTTATCTTCAATCCGTGCATCACCAGGTATTGCAATGTCAATGAACCATACTTCTTTCTTTTCAACTATTGTTATGTCAGGTGTGTTGTGGACCAAGTGCCTGTCAGTCTGAATCCTAAAGTCCCACAAGATCTTGAGTTTCTCATTCTCTAAAACTTTCTCAACCTGATGTTCCCAGTGGTTTTTGCTGTACTCAAATCCAAACTTCTGGCACAATTTCCAGTGAATGATCTTAGCAACACGGTCATGGCGTTGTAGGTAGTCAGTTTGTGAAATTTTGCTGCACCCACTGATCAGGTGGTCGACTGTCTCATCTTTCTCATTGCAGAGGCGGCATTTGCTGTTGGTGGTAACATGTTGAATTTTTGCCTTCATACAGTTTGTGGCTAGGGCTTGTTCTTGAGCTGCCAAAATAAAGCTTTCTGTTTCTTTTTTCAGTACTCCTGATCTTAACCAGTTCCAAGTTAGTTTCTGGTCAGCTTTGCCTTCAATACTTTTCAAGTATTGGCCATGCAGAGCTTTGTGTTTCCAATTTTCAGCTCGCTGCTCAATTACTTCTTTCTTATATTCTGCTTTTGTTTTAGTTGTCTTTAAAAGGCCTCCTTTATTTACTTCCTTAATCATTGGTTCTTCACTTTTCTGGATGTAACCATTCAAGCTGCATTTTTCTTCTTCCACAGTCTGCTTTACTTGTAGGAGTCCTCGACCACCCTCTGCTCTTGGTAAATATAATCGGTCAACATCACTTTTAGGGTGCAAGGCATGATTCATTGTCATAAGCTTCCTTGTTTTTCTGTCCAAATTGTCTAACTCCATCTGGGTCCAGTCAATTATTCCTGCAGAGTATCTAATCACAGGTATAGCCCAGGTATTTATGGCTTTTATGATGTTTCCTCCACTCAATTTGGACATTAATATCTTACGAATTCGTCGAATGTACTTGGCTGAAGTTAATTCCTTGACTTTATTATGTTATTATTATATTATTATATTATAAGGTTCTTTAGTCGGCGCCATTGATTTTCAATTATTATTATTATTATTATTATTATTATTATTATTATTATTATTATTTCATATTAAGACCTACCTAGTGGCGATAAAAGCGGCAAAATTTAATTATTTTTCCGCTCTTATCAGGTCTGCAGAGAACCGCCCAGTAGCCCTGTTTAGGGTGACCTGCTCCCTCCTTCATCTGGGAGCGAGGGAAGACCCCTTGCAGGGCAGGGCTGAGGATTTTGTGCAATTCCTGCATGACAAAGTCACTCAGATTCGGGAAGGCTTGGACTCTGATTGGGTAGATTCAGATGGGGTGACGGAGGTGGGTCTTGAGAATGTTATCTGGGAGGGGTTTGACCTTGTGACTCCCGAAGACGTGGACAGGATTCTGGGTAGGCTTAGCGCTGCCACATGTTTATTGGACCCGTGTCCCTCCTGGTTGGTGCTGGCCTCCTGGGCAGTTACACGAGGCTGGCTCCAGGGGATTATTAATGCTTCTTTGAGTGAGGGCCTCTTCCCCCACCTTTTTGAAAGAGGCGGTGGTGAGGCCTCTCCTCAAGAAGCCTTCCCTGGACCCGGCTGTATTAGCGAATTATCGTCCAGTCTCCAACCTTCGCTTTGTGGCGAAGGTTGTTGAGAGTGTGGTGGGGCGACAACTTCCCCAATACCTGGATGAAACCGATTATCTAGGTCCGTTCCAGTCAGGATTCAGGCCATGGTTCAGCACGGAAACGGCATTGGTCGCATTGGTTGATGACTCTGGAGGGCTCGGGACAGGGCCTGTTCCTCTGTCCTGGTCCTATTAGATCTCTCAGCGGCTTTTGATACCATCGACCATGGTATCATGCTGCGACGATTGGAGGGGTTGGGAGTGGGGGGCACCGTGCTACGATGGTTCTCCTCCTTCCTCTCCGACTGTATGCAGTTTGTGTTGGCAGGGGGGCAGAGGTTGACCTCTAGGCGCCTTGTTTGTGGGGTGCCACAAGAGTCAGTCCTCTCGCCCCTTCTGTTCAACATTTATGTGAAGCCGCTGGGCGAGATCATCTGTGGTTTTGGGATGAGTTCCACCAGTACGCTGACAATACTCAGCTGTACATCTCCACCCTGGACCACCCCAATGATGCCCTTGACGTGATGTCCCGGTGCCTGGAGGCCATGCGGATCTGGATGGGGAGGAACAAGCTCAGACTCAACCCTTCCAAGACTGAGTGACTGTGGTTTCCGGCGTCCCGGTATAGGCAGCTGGCTCCATCACTGACTATTGGGGGCGAGATCTTGTCCCCCTCAGAGAGGGTTCGCAACCTGGGTGTTCTCCTGGATACACGGCTGTCCTTGGAAGATCATATGACCGCCGTGGCCAGGGGAGCTTTTTATCAGGTTCGCCTGATACACCAGTTGCATCCCTTTCTGGACCGGGATGCCCTGCGCACGGTCACTCATGCCCTCGTCATGTCACGTCTGGACTACTGTAACACTCTCTACATGGAGCTCCCCTTGAAGAGCACTCGGAAGCTCCAACTGGTCCAGAATGTGGCCGCGCGGGTGGTTATGGGGGCGACTCGGCGCACCCACGTAACACCCCTCCTGCATGAGCTGCACTGGCTCCCAGTGGTCTTCTGAGTGCGATTCAAGGTGTTGGTCACCACCTTTAACGTGCTCCATGGCTTAGGACCGGGGTATATACAAGACCGCCTTCTGCCATCGATAGCCTCCCACCAGCCAATACGCTCCCACAGAGAGGGGCTCCTCAGAGTGCCGTCCGCCAGACAATGCCGACTGGCGACACCCAGGGGGAGAGCCTTCTCTGTGGAGGCACCAGCTCTCTGGAATGAGCTGCCCCTTGAGATTCATCTCATCCCCGACCTGCGTACCTTTCACTGCACCTTGAAGACCCTTTTGTTTCAACAAGCCGGCCTGGCATAATTCGAATTTTAGAATGGGTGTATGTTTGTTTTAATCTATGGGCCAAATTTTTATATATTTGATTTTAAATTGTTTTAAATTTTGTAAATTTATATGTGTTTTAATATGGCTGTACACCGCCCTGAGTCCTCCAGGAGAAGAGCGGTATAGAAATCTAATAAACATAAACAACATAAACATAAACAATTGGGTTAAGAAGGTCTGGGCTATTCCCAGGCCATTCCAGCAGCGGAATATCATTATCTTGAAACTCCCCCCCCCAAAAAAAAAGTGGTGGCAAGGTTGAGACTCTGCTGCTAGTGAAGGAGTTTGGGAGGAGGTTCAACACAGCCGGAGATGCTATTTCCACCCCCCCCTTACTTCTTACAAGTAGTCCTTGACTTACGAGACGTGGTGGCGCAGTGGTTAGAGTGCAGTACTGCAAGCTACTTCTGCTGACTGCCGGCTGTCTGCAATTTGGCAGTTCAAATCTCACCAGGCTCAAGGTTGACTCAGCCTTCTGTCCTTCCGAGGTCGGTAAAATGAGGACCCAGATTGTTGGGGGAAAAGAAGCTGATTCGGTAAACCACTTAGAGAGGGCTGTGAACAGTGGTGGGATTCAAGTAATTTAACAACCGGTTCTCTGCCCTAATGATTTCTTCCAACAACCAGTTTGCCAAACTGCTCAGAAAGTTAACAACTGGTTCTCCCGAAGTGGTGCGAACCGGCTGAACCCCACCACTGGCTGTGAAGCACTGTGAAGCGGTATATAAGTCTAAGTGCTGTTGCACTTAGGAATCAGAATTTTCTTTGCCAAGTAAGTCAATTCAGTGACTCGGACCTGATTTAGCAACCTTTTCTGCCATGGGTTGTTTAGCAGTTGTCAAGTGAATCCCACGGTCATTAAGAGAATCCGATTCCCCCCATTATCTACTCAGCCAAAGGTAATGAGGAAATGTCACTAATGGTGAAGACATGACCCCAGGAATGTTGCAACCATCATTAAATACAGGCCGGTTGCCAAGCGCCTGGATTTTGATCTCGTAACCGTGTTGACACTACAATGGTTGTAAGTGCGACGATTGATCCTAAGTCATATTTTTCAATTTCGGTCACTAAATGAGTTGAGAACTACCTGTAATATTGACCACCTTGATGGGGGGGGTCTCCCGAGGAAGAGACGGCCCATCTCTGAATGGTAGAAGCTGTCAGGAGCAGGATGATGGGCTTTGGTCTCAAGCCAGCTTTCTCCACAGCTCTCTCTCTCGACATCATGAGCAGCCCAGACGAAGAGCTGAAGGTGGAATGGGAGGTTTCCCGAACCCCTTCGCCGGACATCACCATCGTGCCGGAAGTCTCTAGCCGGCCATACCTGGTGGAGACAGACCTCAACCTTTCGGTGGACTCAGTGTCTTCTCCGCCTCCTCCCTCGCTCGATTCCTTCTTTCCTTGCAGTCTGATTGAGGACTCGGCGTTCTCCATCGAGAAGGTGGGTGGGCTCCATCTCTTTTAGAATGTAGAAAAACAGAGTTGGAAGGGACCTCGGAGGTCTTCTAGTCCAACCCAGGAGTGGGCTTCAAAAATTTTAGCAAGGGGTTGTTTGCTCAGTTGCTGGGTGGGTGTGGCCATGGTGGGTGTGGCCTACTCGGCCTCCTGCACCATGGTGGGGGGTGGCATTTTTGTCCTCCCCGGGCTCCGGAGGCTTTCCTTAAGCCTGTGGAAGGGTGAAAACAGCCTCCCCAGGTTCCGGAGGCCCTTTGGAGGCCGGAAATAGGCCCCAACTTCCAATAGGCCTGTTTTTCGTCCTCCCTGAGTCTCTGCGTGCACCCTGCACTTACCTGCATCCAAAACAGGCTGCATGGGGACTCCTAGGGGGGGGGGGGGGGGGGGGGTGGAGCCAGCCAGGACTGGGATTTGGGGATTCTCTGAACCGCACAGATTCTTAGCTAGAGGTTCTGACGAACCCCCAGCAACCCACCTCTGGTCCAACCCCCTGCTTAGGGAGGAAAGCTCCACCACTTCAGACAAACATCTTCTTAGAAACTTCCAGTGGTGGAGCAGCCACAACTTCTGGAGGCAAGTTGTTCCACTGGTTAATTGTTCTCACTGTCAGGAAATTTCTCCTTAGTTCTGGGTTGCTTCCAGTGGTGGGTACCAACCGGTGTTACCACCGGTCCTCTTTGTGCACGCGCTTTGCGCACAAAACTAATCAAGCCGAGAACCAAGCTAGACCTAAGGAGAAATTTCTTGACAGTGAGAAAATGTATCAGTGGAACTGCTTGCCTCCAGAAATTGTGGGTGCTTCAACACTGGAGGTTTTTAAGAAGAGATTGGACAACCATTTGTCTGAAATGGTATAGGGCAGTGATGGCTAACCTTTTTGCCATCGAGTGCCAAAAGCAGGGGAGCATGGGGGGGGGGTCACTCGCATGCGTGCCCATACCCATAATTCAATGCCCCCCACGTCCCATCCACGCTCCCCCTGCTTTTGGCACACAACGGCAAAAAGCTTGCCGGTGGGCCTGGTAGGCCCATTTTTTGCCCTCCCCAGGCTCCAGAGGCCTTCTTGGAGCCTGGAGTGGATGAAAACTGCCGCCTCCACCACCAACCCAAGGCCCTCTGGAGGCCGGAAATGGCCCATTTCCCGACTTCCAGCCAGCCCAGTTTTTCACCCTCCCCAGGCTCCAGAGGCTTTCTTGGAGCCTGGGGAGAGTGAAAACGGCCTCCCCCACCATTCCGGAGGCCCTCTGGAGGCCGGAAACAACCTGTTTCCCGACTTCCGGTGGGCCTAGAAGGCCCAAAATCATCTGGCTGGCACGTGCACGCACGTTGGAGTTGAGTTAGGGCAACACTCGCGTGGCCACAGATATGGCTCCGTGTGCCACCTGTGGCACCCGTGCCATAGGTTCGCCATCACGGGTATAGGGTCTCCTGCTTGGGCAGGAGGTTGGATTAGAGGACCTCCAAGGTCCCTTCCAACTGTGTTATTATCCTGTTAATCATGGTTTTTGTGTTCTTTCAAAAGGTCCTGGGACCAACCACCGCCAACATCTTGGCCGAAGCAGAGGCCGAAGCCTCCAAGTACGCAAATGGATTACAAAACCTGGAAATTGAATGGTCTGAAGACACCAACGAGCCTCACCGCATTCTGACTTGTCAAATATGCCAGCTTTTTGTGCGGACGGTCGATCGGTTGCTGGACAAATCGGAGCAACTCATGGATCATTACTTGCCCCTTACAGAGGAGGAAATAGGTAGGTGCAACACAACAGCATACAGGTAGTCCTCAACTTACAACCGTTTGTTTTAGTGACCATTCAAAGTTACGATGGCACTGAAAAAAAGGACTTGAGGCAGTTTTTCCCCTTTACGACCGTTTCCGCGATCCCGTGGTCACCTGATCTGCTGCCAACAGAGACAATTTTTGAAGTGAGTTTCGCCGCCTTTCTGGCCACCGACCACCTGACCACTGGTTAAGTGAATCACTGCAGATGTTAAATTAGTCGCACGATTGTTAAGCGAATCTGGCTTCCCCGTCGACTTTGCTTGTCAGAAGGTCGCAAAAGGGACATAATCCCGGGACATTGTGACCATCATAAATACGAACCAGTTGCCAAGCGTCCGAATGTAAATCACGTGATCGGGGGAGAGGGGGCTGCAAGGGACTTAAGTGTGAAAAACAGTCATAAGTCCCCTTTTTCAGCGCCATAACTTTGTCACCAAACAAATGGTTGTAAGTTGAAGACTAACGATAAAGGGAAGTTGTTGTCAACTCTGAAGCCGGCCTGACTGAGGCCATTTTGAGGCTTCAGTGTTGCCACACTGGAGCTGAGGGAGAGGGAGGGGGGAATAGAGATAGCTGGAGTTTGTAGCCAAAACAAAATGCTTTCTCCTGAGAACCAAGGACGTTCCCACATGTGCTCAGGGACAGGAGGAGTGACATTACCAAGCAAGCAGACCAGGGATGGGTTCTACTTATCTTTACTACCAGTTCACAACAGGGCCGCACGCTCGCTTTGCTTACATGCGCAGAAGCATTTTGATGACGTCGGGGTCAGTGGGCGGAGCCTCCCGCCGGTTTTACTACTGGTTCTATAGACCCCGTGCGAACCGGGGGCAACCCACCACTGAACCAGACGGCACCTTGATTGGACCGTGTGACTAATTGTTTGGGAAAGGGAAAAAAAACTTTACTTTTGATTAGGTGAAAACCGCGGGAAACTTCAGAGTCGGTTTTCAACAGCCTGTGCCAATATGATATGTCCAGTAAAGAAATCTTCCCGCCTCGGAGTCATGCTTGCTTTGCGTGTATTACTTGGAACCCTGACGGTTGTTTTCTTGTGCTTGCCTGGTCAGCAAGTCTGAAGAAAGCCGTAGAGGAGATGGACGATTCCTCTACCGATCATGAGATGCAAGTGTGCTTCGCACGGATCAGCAACCTTTCGGGCAAACTCCGTCAACGTGCCTACATGATGGCCCTGAGCAAGCTAAGGCTAGCCCGGAAGAATACTGAAGAGAATCTGGCTCAGCTTCAACAAACCATTGATTTGGTAAGCTCCGATTCCCTTTTCCATTTGGCACTATCGCCTTTTAGGAGGGGCGTGTTTTTGAAAATTTCGAAAACGTTTTTTACAATTTGTAAAACTTTCACTAATGTTTTCTTTTAGCTTTAAAACAATTTTTGTTAATGTTTGAAGATTTTAAAATGTAAAAGTTTTACATTTTAAACTTTAAAAATATATTTTTTAAATTTAAAGAACTTTCTTTTTAATTTTAAAAAAATGAAATTTGTAAAACATTTTTAAAAAATTTAGACCTTTTAAAAATTCAAACAATTGGCATTTTTAATTTTGAAAAAAATTAAATGTTCAAATATTTTAAATTTGAAATTTTTAAGTTTTTCATGTTTAAAAATTATAACATTTTAAATTTAAAATTGTTAACATTTTGAATTTGAAAAAATATTTATTAAATTTTTAAAATGTTCTTTTTTAATTAAAAATAATTCGTAAAAGTTTTTAAAAATTTAAAATTTTTAAAATTCAACGAATTATTGATTTGGAAAGCTGAGAGTCCCTTTTCCATTTGCCATTATCGCCTTCCAGGATGGATGCATTTTTAAAAATTTTGAAAATGTTTTACAAATTGTATTTGTATACTATTTTAAAAAAAATAGTTTAAAAAAAGTTTCTAATGTTTAAAGATTTTAAAATGTTTATTTTTAAAATTTTAAATTTTTTACATTTTAAACTTGAAAATTATTTTTTCAATTTAAAGAACTTTTTTTAATTCAAAAAAAATTGCAAAGCATTTTTAAAAATGTGAACTTTTCAAAAATTTAAACAATTGACATTTTTAATGTTGAAAAATTTAAAAGTTCAAATATTTTAAATTTTAAATGTTTGAACATTTTAACATTTTAAATTTAAAAACATTTTTAAATTTAAAAACATTTTTAATTTAAAAAATAATTTGTAAAATGTTTTTAAATTTTTTAACTTTTTAAAAAAATTTTAAAAATCACATTTTCCATTTAAAATTTTTTTAAAGTTCAAATATTTTAAATTTTAATTTTTTTTTAAATTAAAAAAATCAAAATGTATATTTAAAATTAAAGGGGACCATCCTAAATTGGGTCTCGATTTGAGATTAATGACATTTTTCATAGGGATTTGGTAAGGGGTGATTTTGCTGGAAGTAAACCCTGATTTTTAGCAAAAGCGTCATTATGTAGTCATGTGACCACGGGATGCTGGAAATGGCCATAATATGGCTCGGTTGCTGACTGCTCAGTCACATGATCATGGAGAGGGGTAAGCAACAGAACTTTAGACCTTGGTAGTAAGTTCCCCCCGCCAGTAAGGTCCATTGTAACTTCAAACGGTCACTAAGCAAACAGTCTTAAGTCGAGGACTAGCTGAGGTTCTTTATTTTTTTCCCTTCTCTCACCTTGCTAAAGAAATGCTCAAAGCTATCGGATCCATCTTGCAGGATTCCAGTCAGTCACCTGGAAGACCAAACAATATTTTGGAATTACAGTAAATTAACTAGGAGTCAGAACAGATTCGTTTAAAAACAGATCATGCCAAACCAATCTTATTTCATTCTTCAACATAGTAACTAAATTAGTTAGACCAGCAAAATACTGTGGACATAATATACTTAGACTTCAGCAAGGCATTCGACACAGTAGACCACAACCTACTTCTTGGTAAGCTAGAAAAAAAATGGGATAGATAGCTTCGCCACCAGATGGCTCACAAACCGTACTCAACGAGTAGTTCTTAATGGGTCTAAGTCTACATGGAAAGAAGTAAGCAGTGGGGTGCCAGTACTTAGGCCCAATACTCTTCAATATCTTCATAAACGACTTAGATGAGGGAATAGAAGGGGAACTCACCAAATTTGTAGATGGTACTAAGCTGGCAGAAATAGCCAACACCCCAGAAGATACGCTCAAGATCCAGATGGATCTTGACAGACTTCAACACTTATCTAACAAAATGAAAATTCAATGTAGAGAAATGTAAAGTCTTACACTCAGGTAAAAAAAACCCAAAAGCACACATATAAACTGGGTGAAACCGGACTTAATAGCAGTGACTGTGAGAGGGATTTTGGAGTCTTAGTGGACAACCAACTAAATATGAGACAGCCGTGTGCGGCGGCAGCAGCCAAAAAAGCCAATGCAATCCTAAACTGCATTAACAGAGGGATACCATCAAGATCAAGGGAGGTACTAATACCCCTCTATAAAGGCCTAGTAAGACCACACCTAGAGTACTGCATCCAGTTTTGTTCACCACACTATAAAAATTTTTTTGAGACTCTAGCAAAAGTGCAGAGGAGAGCAACCAGGATGATGAGGGGACTGGAGATATGAAGAACGGTTGCAGGAACTGGGCGTGGCTAGTCTAGTGAAGAGAAGGACCAGGGAAGACGTGATAGCAGTTATTTTAATATTTGAGGGGCTGCCACAGAGAGGAAGGGGTCAAGCTGTTTTCCAAAGCACCTGAAGGTCAGTCAAGGAATAATGGATGGAAACTGACCGAGGAGAGATTCAACCTAGAAATGAGGAGGAACTTTGAGAGAAAAATCAACCGGATGGAACAGAAGTTGCCTTCGGAAGTTGTGGGAGCTTCATCACTTGAGACTTGCAAGAAAAGACTGGACTGCCATTTGTCAGAAATGATGTAGGGCCGTGATGGCGAACCTAAGGCACGCGTGTCACAGGTGGCACGCAGAGCCATATTGATGGGCACGCGAGCGTTGCCCTACCTCAGCTCCAGTACGCATGTGCGTGCTGACCAGCTGATTTTGGGGCTTTCTGGGCCCACTAGAAGTTGGCAAACGGGCTGTTTTCAGCCTCCAGAGGGCCTCCGGTGGGGTAGGGAAGGCTGTTTTCGCCCTCCCCAGGTTCCTAAAAAGCCTCTGGAGCCTGGGGAGGGCAAAAAACGGTCCTACCGTGCCCACTGTGTCATCACATGCCAAAAGTGGGGGGAGCATGGGGGGGTTGCATGCACATGCGTGGGAGGGCAGGGCGCATAGAATTATGAGTGTGGGCACATACGTGCGTGACTATCCCGCACTCCCTCAGCTTTTGGCACGCAATGGCAAAAAGGTTAGCCATCACTGGTGTAGGGTCTCCCACGGGGGTTGGACTAGATGACCTATAAGGTCCCTTCCAACTCTGTTAATCTGTTAAAAGATCCAGAAATTCTACCAATTTGTAGCTTCTGATTAATTTATTTATAGGCAGAACTCAACTTACAACAGTTCATTTAGCGACCATTCAAAGTTACAATGGCACTGAAAGTAATGACTTATGGCTATTTTTCACACTTATGACCTTGGTGGTCTCCCCACGGTCACATGATCAAAATTCAGACACTTGGCAACTGACTCATATTTATCACGGTTGCGGTGTCCCGGGGTCACTTTTTACGACCTTCTGACAAGCCAAAAAATGGAGAAGCCAGCCAGATTCACTTAACAACCGTGTTACTTAACTTATGAATTGCAGTGGTCCACTTAACAACCCTGGCAAGAAAGTTCGTAAAAGGGAGCAAAATTTACCAAACCATTTGAACGGCAGAAATTTTGGGCTGGATTGTAGTCGTAAGTCGAGGACTGGCCTGTATTCGGTTCTTATAGCTGCCCAACTCATTAGCCTTCTGGAGATCTCTAATCCAGATTCAGTAGTCCTAATAATTACCGTGTTTCCCCAAAAATAAGACAGCCCCTTATTTTCTTTTGACCCCCAAAATATGGCCTTGGCCTTATTATCGGGGGTCTTATCCCTAAACCTCAGCCCGGGAGCACCGACCGGCTGCTTTGCCAGTGCCGCTCAGGCTGCTGCTTCCAGCAATCTTGGCAGCTTTTGTTATTTCCCGTGCAAACAGCATGAAGTGAGGCGGTGAGGCAGGGGGGGGTGGCGGAGAAGGGGGGAACACAGTGGTGAAATGTAAAATTTGTTACTACCGGTTCTGTGGGCGTGGCTTGATGGTGGTGGTGGGTAATATGACTGAGTGGGCGTGGCCAACTTTTTTTTTTTTAACTTTTAAAATAATTTTTTCTACAACCTCTTCGGCTAAAGAGGTTGTAAAAAAAAATGCTTTTAAAGCCTCTGACGATCCCAGCTGACTTGCCTAATCGGCAGAGGCTTTCTTTTTTTTTTTTTTTTTAAAGCCTCTGACGATCCCAGCTGACTTGCCTGATTGGCAGAGGCTCTTTTTTTCCTTTTAAAAACATTTTTTCTATAACCTTTTTGGCGGAAGAGGTTGTAGAAAAAATGCTTTTAAAAGCCTCTGATGATCCCAGCTGAGCTGCAGGATCATCAGAGGCTGTTTTTTAACTTTTAAAAGCATTTTTTTGGCCAAAGAGGTTGTAGAAAAAATGCTTTTAAAAATTAAAAAAAAGCCTCTGATGATTGCGCGGCTCAACTGGGCAATGGGGGGGTGCAGGGATTTTTGCTACTGGTTCTCCGAGCCACCCGCCTCCATCACTACCAGATCGGGCGATCCGGTCCGAACCGGGAGCATTTCACCTCTGGGGGAACATGTCCCACATGCACCTGCCTCCACATGGAACAGGCTCCCACAAACCCTAGCTCGCGCACCCCTTCTCTTAGTGGCGTCCGCAAAGAGCGGCTGCAAAAAAAACTCTTGCCAACCCTAGCTCTGTCGACTGGGACTGGGGCGAGTGGGACTGGCACTGGCGTTCGGAGCAGTGGCTGGTGTGGGCTGTCTACACAGCCATGAAGCGGGATCAGTGTGGCCGGTTCTCGCCCACAGCATGGCGGGTGGGGTGGGGCGGCAGAGAAGCGAGACGCATGGAACGAGATGGGGCTCCCCTTGCCGTCTCTTCTTCCCCCCTTGCTGGGCATGGCAGGAGCTGGAAGTCAGGTAAGACACAGCGGAGAAGCGACCATTTGAACGTAAGGAACAGAGCAAAAGCTTTTTTTTTCTTCCATATATTGGATTTGTACACCGCCCTACTCCCGAAGGACTCAGGGCGGTGAACAGCCACAGAATAAAACACATAAATACAAAATTTAAAAACAGAATAAAACCGAATTAAAACAATTTGGCCGAGACAAATTAAAAACACCCAATAATTTTAAAAACAAATTAAAATTTACATTTTAAAGGGGAAAAGATTTAGGCCAGGCCGGCTTGATGGAATAAAAAAGTCTTGAGAGCGCGACGGAAGGTGCGCAGATCCGGGATCCTCCGTATCTCCAGGGGGAGCTCATTCCAGATAGTAGGTGCCCCCACAGAGAAGGCCCTCCCCCTGGGGGCCGCCAGTCGACATTGTTTGGCTGATGGCACCCGGAGGAGCCCCTCTCTATGGGAGCGTACCGGTCAGTGGGAGGCTATTGGTGGTAGCAGGCGGTCTCGTAAATAACCAGGTCCTAAGCCATGGAGCTGCTAGGCGGAGAGCGCTCCAACTTCGGACTTTAATCCAAGTTTAGAAAAGCGGTCCGAGTCTCCCTTTGCATCTCCTCATCCAGCCTTCTTCTACAAAACCATGGCCGACGACGAATTCGCATAAGTGGATGTTGTGACCGAGGCAGCTCTGGAGGGAGGTAAAGCCAGAAAGTTGAATCGGTTTTCTGTTAGTGAAAAAAAGCTGGGATGGAAGACCATGCCGCGAGTTGCAGCCGGCTCTTTCCAATCTGCTTCTTTGTAACTCTTGGGTTCAGTTCATGTGGCCCAGACATTGAAGCTGGGGGGGAGGCTTCACTCTGCTGTCAGGTTCGGGGCTGAGGGGGGTGAGCATCGTTTTAAGGCCATTTGTGCAGCTGAAGCAAGAAACGCCTCATCTCACACTCTCCCCTCCTGGTTAAAGAATGAAGTTGTGGGGTGGGGGGGAGAGAAAAGCAAGGCGGAAAAAATAGTCACCTCCCAAATCTCCAAAGGATCTGGAGTTGAGATCTGGCTAAATGGTCAGCGTGCCATTACCAAATAAAAACAGACGGGAGGATATTCACTCCTGTTGCTTCTCTCCCTGTCTGTCTCTCTGCCTGTCTTCTCCGCCGTGTCTTACCTGACTTTCAGCTCCTGCCATGCCCGGCGAGGGGGGGGGGAGAGAAGAGATGGCAAGGGGAGACCCATCTCATTCCATGTGTCTCACTTCTCCATTGCCCCACCCCTTCCCTTCGCCGGCCTGAGATTGGCAAGCCAGATTTGGGAAGCTGAACATGCTACTGCCACCGGGAGGAGAAGAACATCAGAAATGGGCTCTCTCGCAGCACCTCCTCTCTCTCTTCTTCTCCCAAGTGGCAGCGGTGTGTCTGGCTCACCGAATCTGGCCTGCTGATCTCAGGTGGCAGCAGCAGCAGTGGCTCTGACCTGATCCTCGCCGGCAATGCTGCGGCAAGAACCAGCCACACCGATCCTGCTTCATGGCTCCCCAGACAGCCCACACCGGCCACTGCTCGGAGCTCCGGTGCCAGTCCCCACTCCCCAGTCCCAGGTCGACATAAACTAGGGTCGCATAAGCTAGGTTTGCTGGAGCGGCCTCCATGAGGCCATTCTGCATGGATGGCAGGTGCATGTGGGGCACGTGGGGCATGTTCCGTCTCTCTGTCCCCACCTCTCCGGCCTCACCTCCTCACGTCGTGTTGTTTGCGTGGCAGCTGCACATGCGTCTAAGTATTGGAGGGAGCTTATTTTCGGGGGGGGCTTATTTTAGCACATGCACTCGAAAGCCCAATTGGGCTTATTATCCGGACATGTCCTAGTTTCGGGGAAACACGGTAGTTTAAGAGGTACGGGCTTCTGTACCTTCTGGGATTTGTGTGAAGCATCTTTGCAACCCTTGCACTGATGGAGTTACCTAGTTTGGTATCAAAATGTCTGCAAGCAAACAGGCCAGGTCAGAGAGCACCAAGGACCACGTCTGTACATGTTTACCCCCCAACCAGTGACTTCATCTTTTCTTCTTCCTCTCCCTGTTTGCTTGGTGGGCTCCTCCCCAGATTGGACAGGTCCAACATGTGGACGCTATGGACTACCAGAAAAGTTTTGAGAAGCTGACCGAAATCAGCATCCAATGGACTCAGAGGAATTCCCTCCCGCAGCAATCCGTGTGCCTGCAAACTGAATCCTTCTCCCCTGGCTCCAGTATTGATGAAATTGGTCCACGAGTTGCCCAGAGCAGCGATAATGAAGATTTGGGGGTCTCCATATCTATAAGTAGCAAGGTCGAAGAAAAGCAAGAAATTCCTATTGAGGGTGAGATTGCGGAGATGGTCTCAACATTTTCCACAGAGATTCACTACAGGGAGGAGATTGAGGTAGTGCCGAGCAAAGAAGTCACGCCGCCTCCAGACGTCAGCTCTGAAAAGTTGCCAAGTCCTCCAGCAGAAGTTGAGCCGGAGGCGCCACCAAGCCCTCCAGCAGAGGTTGAGCCAGAAGTCCCACCAGGTCCTCCAGAAGAGGTTGAGCCAGAGGTACCAAGTCCTCCAGAAGAAGTTGAGCCAGAAGTCCCACCAGGTCCTCCGGAAGAGGTTGAGCCAGAGGAACCAAGTCCTCCAGAAGAGGTTGAGCCAGAAGTTCCACCAAGTCCTCCAGAAGAAGTTGAGCCAGAGGTACCAAGTCCTCCAGAAGAAGTTGAGCCAGAAGTTCCACCAGTCCTCCAGAAGAAGTTGAGCCAGAAGTTCCACCAAGTCCTCCAGAAGAGGTTGAGCCAGAAGTTCCACCAGGTCCTCCAGAAGAGGTTGAGCCAGAGGTACCAAGTCCTCCAGAAGAGGTTGAGCCAGAAGCTCCACCAAGTCCTCCAGAAGAGGTTGAGTCAGAAGCTCCACCAAGTCCTCCAGAAGAAGTTGAGCCAGAAGTTCCACCAAGTCCTCCAGAAGAAGTTGAGCCAGAAGTTCCACCAGGTCCTCCAGAAGAGGTTGAGCCAGAGGTACCAAGTCCTCCAGAAGAGATTGAGCCAGAGGTTCCACCAAGTCCTCCAGAAGAGGTTGAGCCAGAAGCTCCACCAAGTCCTCCAGAAGAGGTTTGAGCCAGAAGCTCCACCAAGTCCTCCAGAAGAGGTTGAGCCAGAAGTCCCACCAAGTCCTCCAGAAGAGATTGAGCCAGAGGTACCAAGACTCCCAGAAGAGGTTGAGCCAGAAGCTCCACCAAGTCCTCCAGAAGAGATTGAGCCAGAAGTTCCACCAAGCCCTCCAGAAGTTGAGCCAGAAGTTCCACCAAGTCCTCCAAGAGAGGTTGAGCCAGAGGTATGTTACAGTGGTTATGTCTGCTGTGTAGGCAGCTCTATTCTGAGATGCATTTCCTGCCTCCCTAGGAGTTGCCTTTAGCTGCTCCTGTGAGGCATTTTCCGATTCCTGTCATATGCATATATATATATATATACTTCTAATGATGGCTTATCACTGTTAACTGCATTTTGATTAAACTTCTTGAAACATGGTGTCCGAAGTCTGAATCCAAGTCTTGAGGCATACTCCCGAAAGCCAAGCAGTTGAAGGCAAGGCACGCACCAGCATGGCAGCTGCTAATAGCATACCTCTGCCTGAGGCCATGAAGGTGAGTGGAGACTGCAGCAGGAATTGGGATACGTTGAGGGCAGAGTTTGAAGACTATTTCTTAGCTACAGGCTTGAATGATAAGCCAGCAGCAGTACAAGCGGCCACATTAAGGAGATTGATGGGCAGTGAATGCCTCCACATTTATAAACACAACAGTAACCCTTACTGAGGAGCAAAAAAGCAACATCAAAGCTATCCTAGATGCTTGAGAGGTCTATTTTAGACCTCTTAAAACTGTCATTTACGAAAGATATATATTCGGCAGCTGCAAGCAAGAAGAAGGTGAAACAATAGATAGCTTCGTCACACGCTTAAGGGAAAAAGCTGCAAGCTGTGACTATGGCCTCTTAAGAGACGAACTTATTTGGGACAAAATAGTTTTGGGCGTTACCAGTGAAAGCACACGCCCACCACTTCTTGAGAGAGCATAATTTAAGCCTTCAAGCAGCAATTGAGATGTGTTGGACTATAGAACTTACTGACAAACGGCTGAGAGATCTAGAGCGTATTAAAGATTGTATCAATACAGTCTCTAAACAACAGCCAAGTATGACGAACTACCAATACAAGCGCCAGCATAAAACACAGCTGTATAATTCATTTGCAAATAATCAAGTAGCATGCAAGTACTGCGGCCGTGTGCATATACAAGAGAGAGAGCAGTGCCCTGCATATGGAAAAACCTGCAGAGTGTTGTTGTTAGTTGTGAAGTCGTGTCCGACCCATCGTGACCCCATGGACAATGTTCCTCCAGGCCTTCCTGTCTTCTACCATCCTCTGGAGTCCATTTAAGCTCATACCTACTGCTTCAGTGACTCCATCCAGCCACCTCATTCTCTGTCATCCCCTTCTTCTTTTGCTCCCAATCTTTCCCAGCATTAGGCTCTTCTCCAGTGAGTCCTTCCTTCTCATTAGGTGGCCAAAGTATTTGAGTTTCCTCTTCAGGATCTGGCCTTCTAAAGAGCATTCAGGGTTGATCTCCTCGAGGACTGACCAGTTTGATCGCCTTGCAGTCCAAGGGACTCGCAGGAGTCTTCTCCAGCATCATCATTCAAAGGCCTCAATTCTTTGGCGCTCGGCCTTTCTTATGGTCCAACTTTCACAGCCATACATTGCAACTGGGAACACCATAACCTTGACTATATGCACTTTTGTTGGCAGGGTGATGTCTCTGCTTTTTAGTATGCTGTCTAGATTTGCCATAGCTTTCCTCCCCAGGAGCAAGCGTCTTTTAATTCCTTGGCTGCAGTCCCCATCTGCGGTGATCTTGGAGCCTGGGAAAATAAAATCTGTCACTACCTCCATTTCTTAGAATTGAGAATTGAGACGAATTGAGACTGCAGAGTGTGTGGGAGGTTAAATCACTTTGCAGGAGTATGTAGGGCACATAAAATGGAAGTGAGGAAGCTGCACACAATTGAGCAAATATCAGACTCGGATGATGCATCCTTGTTTACCACTGATGTGGTTTATAGGAAAGAATGTATTGGCGCAGTACACTCTAAGGGCAAAAAATGGTTTGTAAATCTCAGTTTTAACAACATAATTCAACACTTGCCAGCTGGTCTCGGGTGCAACATGTGATGTTATGAGTCTGAAGGATAAAATGAAACTGGCACAGTAGTACTAAACTGAAGTTATATTCAGGGGAACTAATGGACTCACTAGGCCTATTTCAAACAATGCAGCGTATGTGGGGATATTTATAAACTTGAATTTGAGATTATGGAAGCTGATCAGAAACCACTATTGTCAGGATCAACATGTAAGTGCTTGGGGTTAATGCAGTTCACCATTCCGGCCAAGTTACACAATGTTGTGAGTTAAACCCCCCCACAAACCTCTGACGAGGCCATTGACAAAACAGCAAATCCTCCAAGTTTACAAGGAGGTGTTTGAGGGCCCCATAGTATCTGTTCCAGGAGAGGTTCATTTTTGAACTTGATTCTACCATTTCTCCAGTACAAAGTGCGCCACGTAATGTACCTATAGCTATTAAGCTGCAGGTTAAAGCACAACTGGATAAGTACGAGGCAGAAGGACATATTACGTCAGTATCTGAGCCCACCGATTGGATAAGCAACGTGGTTGTAATTAGGAGGCCGGAGAAGATTAGAATCTACATTGATCCTAAATTTCTGAATATGGCCCTAAAACGGTCACACTACTTAATGCCAACACTTGATGACGTTTTGCACTAGCTATCCAAAGCACGGGTTTTCATGCTTGTTGACACCAGAGATGCCTTCCTACAGTGTAAACTGGATGAAATGAGTAGCTACATGACGACGTTCTGGACTCCATGGGGCAGAAAGAGATGGCTCAAATTACCCTTTGGAGTTTCCGTAGCACCAGAGGTGTATCAACGAAAGCAGCACGAATTACTAAGTGGGCTCAGTGGAATTGAGCCAATAGCTGATGACATTCTTATGTAGTTGGCTGTGGTGAAACAGACGAAGAAGCTGAGCATAACCATGATGAGAAGCTAATAGCACTATTATATCGGCGTAGGCAGGTGAGGTTAAGGCTCAGCGTAAAGAAGGTGCAGTTTAAGGTTCAAAAAGTCCGCTTCCATGGGCATATCTTGTCCTCACGAGGTTTAAAAGCTGATCCAGATAAGATTAGAGTCATTGTGGAGATGCCACCGCCTGCTGATGCTAAATCGGTGCAAAGATTTATTGGTTTTGTTATCTATTTAGCAAAATTTCTGCCGCACCTGTCAGAGGGATGTCAGCCATTGAGACGCCTTCTGGACAAAGATGCAGTTTGGCATTGGCTCCCCAAGCAGGACCAGGCAGTATAGAAGATAAAACGCTTGGCCACCATTGCTCCAGTGTTAAAATATGATGATGCTACTAAGACCATTACTATTCAAAGCGACTCAAACAAAAATGGCCTAGGATGTTGCCTATTGCAAGAAGGTCAGCCGGTTGCAAATGCGTCCACAGCGCTCTCTTCTGCCGAGTTGAATTATGCTCAAATTGAAAAGGAATGCTTAAGTATTGTACTTGCCTGCCAGCGTTTCCATCATGATCTTTATGGCCGGGATACAATCAGAGCCGAAACTGATCACAAGCCACTAATAGCTATATTCAAGAAGCCCCTTTTGTGCGCTCCCAAGCGGCTGTAGAGCATGATGCTTAGCTTACAGAATTACAACCTTAATGTTGTCTACAAGCCAGGATGCGAAATGTGTATCAGTGATGCCCTGAGTAGGGCTACGTTAGATCAGGTGACACTCGGGAGGAGAACACGAGCAATAGATGGTTTGCTGGTTGCAACAGGAACAAACTTTCTTCGCCGAAGTTAATCAAGCAGACTATCTTCATGTCACAAATCAGTGGCTATGTCAGTTTAGGCAGCACACAGGTACTGATGTAGCTTTACAGGCCCTGAAGGCTATCGTTCTGAGCAGTCGGCCAGATGAGAAGGAGGCAGTTCCAGCAATAGTGAAGGAATACTGGTCTTTTAGAGATGACATCACCGTACAAAATGAGATCTTGTACAAGGGCCCAAGAGTCACAGTGCCAAGGTCACTGAGAGCAGAGATGCTATTGCGCAGACACTGGAGCCATATTGGCGGAGAGGCATGCTATAGACAAGCCCGTGACACGCTTTACTGGCCCAACATGCAAGGCGAAATTAAGGACTTTTGTTAGCAATTGTACCACCTGCAATAAATATGCATATTCGCCACAAAAAGAAATCATGATGTCACAAGAGATACCATCACATCCTTGGCAGATTGTTAGTATGGACTTGTTCGACTATGCAGGAAAAGAGTATCTAATATTAGTTGACTTTTGGGAAATTAGAACCCATTCAGGACTGTTCGGCTGAAACTACCATTAAGAGATGCAAGACTCAGTTTGCACGTCATGGCTAACCAGATAAAGTGATCTCGGATAACGGTCCTCAGTTTACGAGCCCGCAATTTAGGAAATTTGCCGCTGAGTGGGAGTTCCAGCATGTGACCTCTTCACCGCGTCATCCACAAGCCAATGGCAAAGCTGAACCAACTGTGAAGATCACGAAGAATCTATGTAGGAAAGCTCACAGTGAAGGTAAAGACTCATGGAAAGCCATTCTACATTGGAGAAATACCCCAACTGAGGGCATGGACAGTAGCCCGGCACAGAGACTGATGTCAAGGAGACTAAAGACATCACTGCCAGTGACAGACAAGATGCTTGAGTCCTCGGTGATACAAGGGGTTCCAGAAAAGTTATGGCTGAAGAGACAAGCGGTCAAGGCAAGATATGACAAATCAGTGAGAGATTTGCCAGGATTGAAGATTGGGGAATGGATTCGGATGAGACCGCTGCCTGGAGATCGAACAGTCCGCTGGAAAATGGGTAGCTGCTTACAACAAGTGGCTCCTATGTAGTGGATGTTGAAGGAACTCTGTATCATCGCAATCGGGTAGATTTGCATGAAGCTGAGCAGCCAGATTTTACATATCCTGCGGACAGGCGAGATGCATCTGGTATTACCACGCCGCACTTACCCATGGACAATAAGGAACGCACAGGAATGAGGCCTCAGACCAATGTCGATGAGAGCTTGGAGCAAGCAGGTATACCCAATAGCAGTCGAACGCCGGACGCCCCAGTAAGTGGCAAGAAGAGCCCAGTGGTCCCAGTGAAGCTGGAGAAGCCCGTAATGCAAAGAGAACCAGTCGGCGCCAAGAGAGCCAGTCATCACCCGTAGCGGTAGATGTTTGCGACGACCTGACAGACTTAATCTGTAGATAGTGTTGATACAGTCCTGATCTGAATGTTTATAATGTTTCACAATGTTTTATAATGTCCTATAATGTTTATAATATGTGTTAGTATGAAAGGGGGAACATGTTACAGTGGTTTTCATCGGAACTTGTACAATGTTTTACAATGCAGATGCATTTCCTGCCTCCCTAGGAGTTGCCTTTAGCTGCTCCTGTGTGGCATTTTTTTTTTAAATTTGATTTATATGCCGCCCTTCTCCGGAGACTCAGGGCGGCTTACAATGCGTTAAGCAGTAGCCTTCATACTTTTGTATGTTTATACAAAGTCAGCTTATTGCCCCCACAAACTGGGTCCTCAATTTACCTCCCTTAGAAAGGATGGAAGGCTGAGTCGACCTTGAGCCTGGGGAGATTCGATCTTACTTTAATTGCAGACAGCTGGTGTTAAATTACAGAGCTCTGTCTGTTGAGCTATCCAGGCTTCTATTTTCCAGTTCCTGTCATATGCATATATATATATATATATATATACTCCTAATCATGGCTTATCACTGTTAACCGCATTTTGATTGAACTTCTTGAAACAAGGTACTACCAAGTCCTCCAGCAGAAGTTGTGCCAGAGGTGCTACCAAGCCCCAAACTTCCAACCCCTCCACCAGAAGTGGAGCCCAAGAAGCCGCCAACCCCTCCACCAGAAGTCACCACGCCCCCCAAGAGTGTATCGTTGACCCCTGTGGAGAAGGTCCACAGAGATGTGGCTCATATAACTCTAACAACTCCCGGTTGCGATGAAGACGATACTCTGCTTGTAAGGATGGCTAGAAGTGAAGAAGATTTCGCTTCTGAAGTAAGTGTCCCTCGCCCCCTGCTCCCTTCCCCAAGTCATAACGCTCTCGGTGTCTCGGTGATCAATACGTTGAAGACACCCTACTGTACAAACTGGATAGGCTGCCTCTGCATGAGTCCCTGTTCTGGACTTCGAATCTTGGAACACAAAATGCAGAACAGCAACTCATACCGAAGTACCCCTTTCAGTTAAACCTCCCCCCCCCCCCCAGTGCAGCGAGGAAGTGGCTACCCCTTTCTCCACCTTGGTGACCTTAAGCCCCGAAGAACTTCAACTCCCAGAATTCCCCCAGCCAGTCCTGGACTTTTATTTCCCTAAACTGGAACCCGATGAGAGTAGAACCTCTATATCACGTGGATCGCAATGGCAATCTGGCGTATTGATGAAGCGGCAAATTAGCCAAGGCAGATTCATTTCAGATACAGAGTTGGAAGGGACCTTGTAGGTCATCTAGTCCAACCCCCTGCCCAAGCAGACCTTACATGATTTCTGACAGATGGCAGTCCAGTCTCTTCTTGAAAGCCTCCAGGGATGAAGCACCCACAACTTCCGAAGGCAACTTCTGTTCCACTGGTTGATTGTTCTCACTGTCAGGAAATTTCTCCTTATTTCCAGGTTGAATCTCTCCTTGATCAGTTTCCATCCGTTATTCTTTTTCTGGCCTTCAGGAGCTTTGGAAAATAGTTTGACCCCCTCCTCTCTGTGGCAGCCCCTCAAATATTGGAATAACTGCTATCCTGTCTCCCCTGGTCCTTCTCTTCACTAGACTACCCATGCCCAGTTCCTGCAACCGTTCATCGTATGTTTTAGCATTTCGCACTTCCCTTAGTAGCCACTTACAGCTAAAAAGCCAGATTCTTCTTTAACTGGATTTATTGAAAGGGAAACCCAAAAGGGATCCAGTCTTGGCAACTGGATGCTTCCTTCAGCGTGCCAGTTCACTTCTAATTTTGTTAGGCTCAAGATGCTTTGATTCTTTTGCTCTAATCCTCTGTCGGTGCTGTGGGTGGAGGGCTACCCATTTTCCTGATGAGGAATGTGCAGACACATGGCGTTTGTAGTACTTTGTCAACTGCTCTCCTCTGTCAAGAATCAGAATAGAGTTGGAAGGGACCCTGAAGGTCTTCTAGTCCAACCCCCTGCTCAAGCGGGAGACCCTGTTCCATTTCAGATAGGTGACATCCAGTCTCTTCTTAAAAACCTCCAGTGATGGTGCACCCACAACTTGTGGTGGCAAGTTGTTCCTCTGGTTAATTGTCCTCACTGTTAGAAAGTTTCTCCTTAGTTCTAAGCTGCTCCTCTCCTTGGTTAGTTTCCACCCATTGCTTTTGTTCTGCCTTCAGGTGCTTAGGAGAATAGCTTGACTCCCTCTTCTTTGGGGCAGCCCCAACAAAGATTTACTAAACTGCCATCTCCTCCTATCGATACCCTCTTGGCCCCAGCAGCCTTTTAACCTGCTTGAAGACGACAGGTGATGTAATGTTCCCAGCTTACCACATCTCTGGCCCAAGGGTTTTATTTATTTTATTTTATTTATTTATGTAATTTATATGCCGCCCTTCTCCCGTAGGACTCAGGGCGGCTTACAAAACAAAACAAAGAATTACATAAACAATTAAAATCAGTTTAAAATTAAATTAAAATCAATTAAAAATTATTAAAATTATTTGAAGACCCCCCTACGGATTCAGCCCATTCGGTGAAAAAGCCACGTCTTCAATTCGCGGCGGAAGTTTCTGGGCCTTATTGCAGAAGTTCTCTTGTTTCATGTGCCCCAGTAGGCAGGCCGGTGATTCTCACAGCATCAATTCCAGGTTGCTTCTCTCCCTGATTAGTTTCCACCCATTGTTTCTTGTCTTGCCTTCTGGTGGTTTGGACCACCTAACCTTGCTTAGGGTCAGTTTTATGACTGCAGGAATGTAGAGCCTTGAGACTTAGTTCTCCAAGGTAAGCCAGAGACAACATATGGACCATACGAAGAACGGTTGCAGGAACCGGGCATGGCTAGTCTAGTGAAGAGAAGGACCAGGGGAGATAGGATAGCAGTCTTCCAATATTTGAGGGGCTGCCACAGAGAGGAGGGGGACAAGCTATTCTCCAAAGCACCCAAAGGCCAGACAAGAAACAATGGATGGAAACTGATCCTGGAGAGATTCAACCTAGAAACTTTCTGACGGTGAGAACAATCAACCCATGGAACAGAAGATGCCTTCGGAAGTTCTGGGAGCTTCGGAGAAAGGGGTGGAGTTTCCCACGATACCAGTCACGAAGAACCAAGCTCTTCGTTCATGTGCTGGCTTCTCCCTCTTAGTGGGCTCTGAAAGGAGCCAAAAAGCTGCCTTGTGGGGACAGCGAAGCTAAGGAGGGGAACCCTGTGAGATCCCAGGAGAGAACGCAACTCTCCTGTCGAAATCCAGAGGTTTTGCTTTCTCCCTCTATGCCATGACGGGAAGAAGAGACAGCCTAAGGTGGCTGCTACAAAGCTGGGATAGCAGATGACCATCTAAGCAATATGCAGGAGTGGACCTGGTGAACAATGAACTGGGTGAGAAGAATTATTTTTATTCAACTTTTAACCTCAAAGAAACACGGAGAAACTATTGACTTAGAGCTATCAGTTCAATGGCAGACAAGCGCTTTGGAAAGTGATTAAGTGATTAGCAACCGGAAGGAGGAGATTTAAAGACAGAGGAAACAATTTACTCTTTAAAAACAATTTTAAAATGCAGGAACTATGGATTTAAAAAATTAACACTGCTTTTTCACTTGAATTTGAAAGTGTTGGAATTATTTACCTACAAAACCTATCCTGCTTTAATAACTGTTTTATAATTAACTATCAATGAATAAACTGAAATTAAAATTTAATTGGAGAGTGCCACCTGCTGAGGAAAGGAAAAATTACAAATTTGGAAATGCCTATATGAGAAACAGTGCAAATACTTATTGAGGCTTTTTGATAACTTCTGGGACTATCTGTAGGGAATTGATTGTATACTTATGTGACATAAAGAATTGGGACTAGTGCACTCCTTGAAAGGTAGTAGAAGGACTGAATAAATAGCTCTTGGACCGTGGATTTTCAATGGAAATGGAATTATTTTTTCAAAATACAAAAGACGCCATGGAGAAAGTATTTAAGGAGTTTATGGGGAAAATGGAAAATACCATACGAGGGATGATGAGCAAAGATCAAGACGCCCAGGAAAGGGAGGAGTCAACAGAAGAAATGAAGGAAGAGGACAAAGAGGAGACAACAATGAAAATAATAGTGATTGATGAATTAAAACAGGGGGAAAATATATTAAGAGAGTTGGAAGAGGTGTTAGAAAGGGAGATAAGGATCTGGGTAGAAATCTTAGAAATTAGGCAGTGAAAGAAGGGAGAGGTGGGAGGAATATCCAGATTGATCATCCAAGAAACAAATGTAGACAGAGATAAAGATCTAAGAGAGGAGCGTGGAAGGCAAGTCCCAAAAAAAAAAAAAAAAGAAGCAGCAGCACAGCAATTAAAGTATTGAAGCGGGCAAGAGACGATGGATAGATGATGATGATTGTTTTTTTAATTGTTGTTTTGATTTGCCTTTTCTTCTCCCTCTCTTTCGCTTAAAGCAGGCATTGGCAATCTTAAACATGCAAAGAGCTACAAAGGTCCTAACCGGAAGCCCCTGTTCATTTCTTCGTTGAAGTCCAGTTCCCCCATCATACTCCTTGTGCGGTGTACTTTTTTCTCTGTTGACTGGAAGTCTGGTTCCCCCACCAAAGAGTGTCGTCCTAGCGCAGCATCCTTTTTCCTCTACCTGTACTATCCGAAAGCCCTACCAATTGTGGAGCTGACCAGCAACAGGGAGCCGCAGCAGAGGGATGAAACAGCCACATGCGGCTCCAGAGCTGCGGGCTGCTGACCTCTGTCTTAAAGCATAGCAATTAAAAGTATCAAAGCAGGCAAGAGACGATGTATGGATGATTTCTTTTCTTTTATGTTGTTGTTAGGAGTTGCTCCTCTCTTTCTCTCTTTTCTTTTCTCTCTCTCTCTCTCTCTCTCTCTTTTTTTGGTGGGTGACATGATTAGAAGTTAGAAAGGAAAGAAAGACTTTTAATAAAGGGTGATATGATTAAAAGCTAGAATAGGTGATAGAAATAAGAGAAGGGGAATATCAATGTCTAAATTTTTACATAACGAAAGCAATAACAAGAGAAAACGTGGAATAACTGAACAATGATAGATTGCAATCTAAGATAAATGTGTATTATTTACTAGAAACATATAAGTTGATTGAATATAATAATTATGATTAACTTTGATAGTTTTATTTGTATTAGAATGCATGACACCCAGATGTCACACCATTCATGCATTGATTTGTTACATTTATAAAAAAATAAATTAAAAAACTTGATTAAAAAAAAAGAGCTCTGGGAGCTTCATCACCGGAAGCTTTCAAGAAGAGACAGGACTGCCATCTGTCAGAAATGGTGTAGGGTCTCCTTCTTGCGCGGGGGTGTTTGGATCAGATGACCTACAAGGTCCCTTCCGACTCTCTTCTGTTCAGATCAGTGGAAAAGCTTGCCTTCAAAAGCTGTGGATGCACCGCCGTGTTCCTATAGGTATCCCAAGGCTGGCCAAGGAATTCTAGGAACCGGTCGGAGAAGCACTGAGCTACTGAAACTCTGTTATCATAAGATATAAGAACAGATTCTCGGGAGCTTGACGATTTCTTTCCATCATTCTTAAACCAAAGAGAATCAACGTGGAGCAATCTTGAGTTTCTTCCTCACTTGCTTCTGTTTTCCCAGCTAAACTGATTCCCCCCGCCCCCAATGATTGACCCATTTCAAGGCTATAATCAGTACCCTCTCTCTGCTGGGAAATAAAATATCCTCCTTGAATTTAGAGGCCTCCAAATCCCTAAAATTCCCAATCAGGATTCTGGGATGCTACCGTGTTTCCCTGAAAATAAGACCCTGTCTTATATTTTTTTTTTGAATCCCGAAATAAGCGCTTGGCCTTATTTTCGGGGAGGTCTTATTATTTTGGGGCGTGTAAAGCAAGATGGGGCTCCTCTTGCCGTCTTACCTGATTTCCAGCTCTGTGTTTAAATATTTTCAGGGAGGGCTTATTTTCGGGGGGAGGCTCATTTTAGTGCATGAGCTGAAAAGCCCGATTGGCCTTATTATTAGGGGATGTCTTATTTTCAGGGAAACGGGGTAACATATTCCAAGGGTGCCAAGTCTCAAAAGGAGATACAGGTAGTTCTCGACTTACGACCACCATCGGAACTGGGATTTCCATTGCTACCTAAGGCGCTTGTTAAGTGAGCTGCAAACTCCGTTTTTGCAACCTTGTTCGCCACGGCTACTAAGCAAATCCCTGCCATCGTTAAGTGAATCTTGCAGTCATTAAGTGAATCTGGCTTTCCCCACTGGCTTGGCTTGTTGGAAGCTCCCTGAGACAGTTGCCAAGGGAGATCATGTGACCGCAGGGCATTGCAATCGTCACAAATACATGCCAGTTGCCAAGCAGCTGCATTTTGATCTGTGGGGATGTCACAGTGCGGTGGTAACTGTGAGGATTGGTTGCAAGTCACTTTTTCCAGTGCAGTTGTAACTTTGAACAGCCGCTAAATGAATTGGTTGTAAGTCGAGGAATATCTGTTCGGGAGAAAGAGCTCTTGCTTCACAGAATATTTAAACATGCACGCACACATGCACAGCAACAAAATATAACTGGAAATTGAAAATCTCAGATTTAAGAAGAAAAAAAAGCCTCTGCCGATCAGGCAACTCAGCTGGGATCGTCAGAGGCTTTTAAAAGCATTTTTTCTACAAGAGGTTGTAGAAAAAATGCTTTTTAAAAATAAAAAAAAAAAGCCTCTGATGATCGTGCGGTTCAACTGGTCATGGGGCGGGGCAGGGATTTTTGCTACCGGTTCTCCGAACCACCCGCCTCCATCGCTACCGGATCGAGTGATCCGGTCTGAACCGGGAGCATTTCACCCCTGTATTTAGTACTATATTTCACCAGGGGGAAAAAGACCTAACTGGAAAATAAGCCCTAATGTGTTTTTTTGGAGCAAAACTTAATATAAGACCCTGTCGTATTTTCAGGGAAACATAGTCCAATCAGAAGACTTAGTGGGAAAGTGCAGGAAGCAACTAGTTGTGTCTCTCCACTCCCACTGATGGAACATCTCTACTAATCGAGTTTTTCCAAAGTTCAACTTAAAAATTTTCTGCAAAGCATTCCGAAGCCTACTTGCTTTGGTTACCAAAATCTTGATCGCTGGGTGCCTAGTTTGGCATCCAAATTCATTTCTGATTTTGTTCGGGTGGAAGATCCCTTGATTTGTGGGGTCCTTGGTGCTCTCTGAGGTTGCTGGTTTTGTTGCAGACGCTTCATGACCCAACTAGATAAGCATCATCAGGGCTAGAAGGCGAGTGGGGTTGGAGGTCATCCTTGGTGCTCTCTGAACTCGTTTTCTTGCAGACGTTTCCTGACCCAACTAGGCAACATCATCAGGGCTAGAAGGGAGAGGGGCTTGCTCTCATTTTTATAGATCAATGGCTTGCCTTGTCAGTGTGGGTGGGAGTGGTCTTGGTGGCCCCCTGATCAGGCTGCTGTTGACTGTTAGCTTGTTTGTCTAAGTTGGTAGTTCTTTGGTAATTAATACTAAGATTAACACTAGATTAATATTCAAGAAGTAAACAATTGTCCAATCAAGCACTGATGATGTAACCTAGTTTGGTCACAAGACCTCTGCAAGAAAATAATCACACTCAGAGAGCACCAAGGACCCCATAACTGTCCTCCTCCTCCTCCTCCTCCTCCTCCTCCTCCTCCTCCTCCTCCTCCTTTCCACAACCCCACTCCCTACTAGCACTGAGGATGTTCCCTAGTTGGGTCATGACACATCTGCAAGAAAACCACCAAGTTCAGAGACCATCAAGTCTTCCTCTCCCCCCCCCCCCCGCCCACAAACCCCATTTCCCTTTAGCCCTGAGGATGTTCCCTAGTTGGGTCATGAGATGTTTGCAAGAAAAGCACCAAATTCAGAGGCTACCCAGAACTCCAGAGTCATCGTCCTCTTCTCCACAAACCCCACTCTCTTTTAGCCCTGATGATGTTCCCTAGTTGGGTCAGGAAACATCTGCAAGAAAACCACCAAGCTCAGACAGGACCAAGGACCCCACTGTTCAACCCTGAGCTACTACAAATATCCTCTTCCATCCATATTCCTTGATTCTCTCGCTAATCACCTGCTTAATGCAGTGAGGAGGAGGAGGTTATCCCTCTTCCTGATAGGAATAGGCCAAACTTGGGTTTTAATTGGTTTAATTGCTGGTCAGGGCTGCTACCTACTCGACGAGTAGGTAGGAAGGAGTATGCATCTGAAAGAATGTCTTTTGGTTCCAACAGGTAGAAACCAAAACCCTAGAAATGTCCCGGAGCTTGACCAGCAACTTGAAGAACACCTATGAGAGCCTATTGACCAACCTGAAAGACCTTCCCTCTAATCTCCAAAACAAGCTATACCAGACCTGCCGAGATATGAGCGAGCTCCATTCCACCTTTGCCTCCGCCCACTGTTTCAGCGACCTGTCCAGCGGCCTCTTGAACAAGAGCTTCGCCATCATGGCCGAAGCCCAGGGCTCGATGGATGAACTCATGGAATTCGCCTTGCAAAGCCCCAAGGCCTTGCTTTGGTTGAAGGACTATCTCCCTCCCATCTTGACCAAGAAGCGGGAGACCCAGGTAGAGGCGGCGGAGAGCAAGGACGAAGCCAAAGGAGAGGTCCCCCCATACGACATGAGGGATACCGAGAGCAACATCTTGAAAATCCAGAAAGCGTACGAACCTCGAGAGTGCTACAATGATACTCTTTTTGTGAAGAAGGAGGAGGCAGCCGCGGCCGAAGTGGTCCCACCTTCTAGTTTAAGAGAATCGGAGGACATCCTCAAAATCCAAGAGGCATATGATCCTCAAGGTTGTAAGGAGGACGTAACTCCTAGCAGGGGAGAAAAGGAAGAGGAAGAGGAAGAGGAAGGGCCATCCCCGAGAAAGGAAGGGTCTAAAAATTGGGGCATATTGAAATTGCTGGTGACCTACGTGCCCAAAATCTCCACCATCCACGCACTGCTAGAGAAGAAGAACATCCAATCTTCTGGCCAGAAGGAAGAGGAAGAAGTTCCTGCTCAGGAAGAGGAAGAAGCCTTGCCCAGCAGGGATGACATCTTGAAGCTCCTCCAAGCTTACGACCCTAAAGGTTGCGAAGAATCGTTCAACGAAATGGAAGTCTCAGATCCTGACCAAAGAGAATTCCTTCCACCGAGCAGGGCGGACATCCTGAAACTCCTGAAGGCTTATGAGCCTCAAGAGTGTCTTGACGACACACTGCCCAGCAAGGAGGAGAAAGTGGAAATGGAGGTGTCCCGAATTTCTATTAAGGAAGCACCTTCCATTAAGAAGGTAGAGGTCCCACCTCCTGTCCAGAAGGAAGTAGTCATCCCACTTCCTATCCAGAAGGAAGAAGTCATCCCACCTCCTGTTCAGGTGAAAGTAGTCATCCCACCTCCTATCCAGAAGGAAGAAGTCATCCCACCTCCTGTTCAGGTGGAAGTAGTCATCCCACCTCCTATCCAGAAGGAAGAAGTCATCCCACCTCCTGTTCAGGTGGAAGAAGTCCCACCATCTACCCAGGTGGAAGAAGTCCTATCATCTATCCAGATGGAAGAAATCCCATCATCTATCCAGGTGGAAGAAGACGTCCCACCACCTGTCCAGGAAGAAATGTCACCACCAACCTCTCGTTCAGAGCTGGAAGTCCCATCTACTAAGAGCCAGTTGATTTCAAGCATGGATAACATTCTGAAACTCGAGGCCAATAAGAGCAACAACAACAACGAGGTCCCACCTTCGACCACGGAAGAAGAGAAACAGCCACTTCCTGAGAAACCCAAGAACCTCCTGGACATCCAGAAAGCCTACGAACCCAAAGAATGTGAGGATGGGTCCTCTATCAGGAGGCAGGTGGATGAGGCTTCCTCTTCTGCTCCAGGGGACCAGGTGGACATCCTCAAAATCCAGCGGGCCTACGACCTCAAGGAGTGTGAAGAAATGACTCCTTACAGGGAGGCGGAGGAAGAATCCTCAACAGCAGCATCCCAGACCTCCGGAGGTCAAGGGTGGAGCATCTTCAAACTCGTGCAATCTTACCTCCCAAAGAGTCTCAGGGAGGATCCTTCTAAGAAGGAGGAGGAAGACAAGTAGGAAGATGGAAGGAAGCGGGGAGGGGGGGTGAATGCTTCGGAAACAGGAGTGCTTAGCGGGGGCTGCAAATGGCGGTGGACTCACCCTGGAGAAGGTCCCAGGTGGTCGGTCTCCATAAAGCCAGATGTACAGCATGAACCATTAAAGAACGAGATGTTGAGTCAGAAGCTCACTTGACCGGTGCTCGTGTGTTTGCTCCTGACTATCGCACCCCACTTGTCACTCCCTGTTCTGACCCAGCCTTAGCAGAACCAAGAAACAGAACCCCTTGTCCCGAAAAAACCCTCTTTATTTAGCTACTGGAAATTCATGGCGTTCCCACACAGAAAAGTCCAGGCAATAATCCTTCCAAGGGTTAACTGCAGTACAGACCTTATCAGTTCTTGGATAATTGCCAAGCCCGGAGCTTCCAGCCACAAAGCTGTAAATCAAACACTTTCAAATAGTCTCTGAGACACGAATCACTAAATTGAATGGTTGTTTTCCACGGACGCCATTCCTCTTTAACTTCTATACACATCTGTAACAGGCCCCAGCTGTTCTTCTTCCCCACTTATCTCTGACTCCGAAGGCAGCTGGGAAATATCGGATGGCCCTGGCTCTATCTCTGCTTCCGACACAGAGCATCCATCAGAGCCTTCCCCAGACTCCAGGACTGGCCCAAGTTCCTCCCCAACCTCCTCATTGTCCGAGTCACAACACTCCCAGGTTCCGTAGGTTAGGAACTACAAGGTCCACACAGGTTTTCTGCTCAAAACAGCTGCAATTCAGACTACAGGATAATAGAGCTGAAGGGACCTTGGAGGTCTTCTAGTCCGGCGGTCCCGAACCTTTCTGGCTTCATGGACCGGCGGAGGGTGGGAGGGGAGGGTTCCGTGCGAGTGCCAGGCACGTATGGAGCTTGGTGTACACACAGAGTTGTCTGCTGCTCACACAAATGGAGCTGTGCACATGCTCGCCTGCCACTTCCGCTGCCTGGTTCTGAACGGGCCACTGCCCGGTAGTGGGTCGCAGTCCCAGTGGTTGGGGACCCCAGTTCTAGTCCAACCTCCTTCACCATTTCAGATAAATGGCTGTCCAATGTCTCTTGAAAGCCTCCAGTGATGGAGCACAACTCGTTCAGAAGAATAGAATAACAGGCACGTCGTTCAGAAGAATTCGCAAATTCGGTCGTAAAATGGGACAAAGATTATTTTCACAACTCTTGCTTCGCAACAGAAATGTTCGGCTCAATTGTAGTAAACCAAGGACTACCTGTAATTGAAAAAAGAACAGTGAGTGGTGGACGGGAATCCCATTGGCACAATTTGGGCACGGCGTCTGCCCTGTTTCCATTTTTATTCCATTTTCAGACGTGTCAGACTACAGCTCCCAGCCTCCATGGCCAATGGTGGGGCTTCTGGAAGTTGCAATCCCACCATGTCACCCAAGAAGTCAAAATCCACCTTTGTCCCCAGATGTCAACCCACAGGGCAGAATAATAGAATAACAGAGTTGGAAGGGTCCTTGGAGGTCTTCTAGTCCAACCCCCTGCTCAAGCAGGAGATCCTCTGCCATTTCAGACAAGTGGCTGTCCATTGTCTTCTTGAAAGCTTCCAGTGGTGGAGCAGCCACAACTTCTGGAGGCAAGCTGTTCCATTGGTTAATTGTTCTCGCTGTCAGGAAATTTCTCCTTAGTTTTAGGTTCTCTCCTTAATTACTTTCCATCCATTGTTTGTTTCTTGCCTTCTGGAGTTTTGGAGAACAGGTTGACCCCTCCTCTTCTTTCTGGCAGCGCTTCAAATATTGGAAGATGCTATTGTGTCACCCCTCGTCCTTCTCTTCAGTAGACTATAGGTAAAGGTTCCCCCTCGCACATATACTGTACGCTAGTCGTTCCTGACTCTAGTGGGCGGTGGTCATCTCCGCTTCAAAGCCGAAGAACCAGCGCTGTTTGAAGACATCTCTGTGGTCATGTGGCTGGCATGACTCAACGCCGAAGGCACACGGAACGCTGTTACCTTCCCACCAAAGGTGGTCCCTCTTTTTCTACTTGTATTTTTTATGTGCTTTCGAACTGCTAGGTTGGCAGAAGCTGGGACAAGTCATGGGAGCTCACCCCGTTATGCGGCACTAGGGACTCGAACTGCTGAACTGCCGACCTTTCCATCGACAAGCTCCACATCTTAGCCACTGAGCCACCGCGTCCCCATCAGACTAGCCAAACCCAATTTCTGCAACCAATCTTCATATGAACAAAATAACAGAGTTGGAAAGGACCATGTAGGTCATCTAGTCCAACCTTCCCGCCCAAGCAGACCTTACACCTGTGATGGCGAACCTATGGCACGGGTGCCACAGATGGCACACGGAGCCATATCGGTGGGCACGCAAGCGGTGCCCTAACTCAACTCCAGTGTGCGTGTGTGTGCCAGCCAGCTGATTTTGGGCTTTCTGGGCCCACCGGAAATTGGGAAATGGGCTGTTTCCAGCCTCCAGAGGGCCTCCAGAGGGGTGGGGGAGGCAGTTTTCACCCTCCCCAGGCTCCAAGAAAGCCTCTGGAGCCTGGGGAGGGTGAAAAACAGGCTTTCTGGGCTGACTGGAAGTCGGGAACCGGGCCATTTCCGGCCTCCGGAGGGCCTCGGGGTAGTGGTGGGGGAGGCAGTTTTCACCCTCCCCAGGCTCCAAAAAAGCCTCTGGAGCCTGGGGAGGCGAAGGCGAAAAACGGGCCTTCTGGGCTGACTGGAAGTCGGGAAACAGGCCATTTCCGGCCTCTGGAGGGCCTTGTGGTGGTGGTGGGGAGGCAGTTTTCACCCTCCCCAGGCTCCAAGAAAGCCTCTGGAGCCTGGGGAGGGTGAAAAACGGGCCTTCTGGGCTGACTGGAAGTCGGGAAACGGGCCATTTCCGGCCTCCAGAGGGCCTGGGGTGGTGGTGGTGATGGTAGTTTTCACCCTCTCCAGGCTCCAAGAAAGCCTCTCGAGCCTGGGGAGGGCAAAAAACGGGCCTACCGGGCCCACTGGCAACCTTTTTGCTGTTGTGTGCCAAAAGCAGGGGGATCGTGGGCGGGACGTGGGGGGCACTGAATTACGGGTATGGCCATGTCATAAATCACATTCTCCAATTAACCCCTTTGGCTGGCTGTGAAACCTAACACCCTCCTTCTGATTGCGGTGAGAAAGAATGTATGGAATTCACTTCAGTTCTCCCTCCCTCCTGCTCATGGCAACTTGAAAGCTTTGCAAGCTGACATTCGGCTCCCCTCACTTCCCGAGGGCGACCTGCACAAAACAAAACAATTCGAGTACAGATGCAGAGTTTAGGGATGTGACCCCCCACCAGGCTTGTTTGGATTTTCTTCAGCTCTCCCTCCCTCCTGCTCATGGCAACTTGAAAGCTTTGCAAGTTGACAGCGTGTGACCCCCCCGTGCTCCCCCACTTTTGGCACGCGATGGCAAAAAGATTAGCCATCACTGCCCTACACCATTTTTGACAGATGGCAGTCCAATCTCTTCTTGAAAGCCTCCAGTGATGAAGCTCCCACAACTTCCGAAGGCAACTTCTGTTCCATTGGTGGATTGTTCTGTCGGAAAATTTCTCCTTATTTCTAGGTTGAATCTCTCTCCTTGTTCAGTTACCATCCATTATTCCTTGTCTGGCCTTGGAAAACAGCTTGACCCCCTTCCTCCTCTCTGTGGCAGCCCATCAAATATTGGAAGACTGCTATCCTGTCTCCCCTGGTCCTTCTCTTCACTAGACTAGCCATGCCCAGTTCCTGCAACCGTTCATCGTATGTTTTAGCCTCCTGTCCCAACATCATCTTGGTTGCTCGTCTGAAATTGGAAGAGAATTTCTCAGCCACTTGTCTGAAAAATGGCAGAGGATCTCTGTTTGAGCAGGGGGTTGGACTAGAAGACCTCCAAGGTCCCTTCCAACTCTGTTATTCTATTATTCTGCCCTGTGGGTTGACATCAGGTGCCAAAGGTGGATTTTGACTTCTGGGTAATGTGGTGGGATTGCAACTTCCAGAAGCCCCACCATTGGCCGTGGAGGCTGGGAGCTGTAGTCTGACACGTCTGAAAATGGAGTAAAGATGGAAGCAGGGCAGACGGCAAATTGTGCCAACGAGATTCCCGTCCACCACTCACTGTTCTTTTTTCAATTACAGGTAGTCCTTGGTTTACGACCACAATTGAGCCGAACATTTCCGTCGTGAAGTGAGAGTTAAATAATCTGTCCCATTTTACGACCGTTTTTGCCCCGGTGGCTAAGCAAATCACTACCGTTGTTCAGTGAGCACGTGGTTGTTAAATGAATCTGGATTTCCCTATTGACTTTGCTTGTCAGGTCATAAAAGGGGATCACATGACCCCAGGACAGTGACCGTCATAAATACGAGTCAGTTGCCATGCATCTGAATTACGATCACGTGATCATGGGAATGTTGCAATGGCCATTAAGTGTTGAAAGAGTCATAAGTCTGGTTTTTTTTTTCCCCCATGCTGTTCACGTTGAACGTCAACTAAATGAAAACTTGTAAGTTGAGGATTACCTATATACCAGGTCAGCAACCTGTGGCTCTGGAGCCGCATTGGCTCTTTCACCCCTCTGCTGCAGCTCTCTATCACTTAAAATATGCATCACAACCCGCTAATTGCACACCCACCGTTGCACCTGAGATTCTGAGAGGGGCTAAGCTTTTCAACCCCTGGTATCAGGCCAACCATGGATAAATTCAAGAAATGAAAATGAAGTTTCAGAAGAAAACAGAACATTTAATTCAACTACATATGCTAGTTTTGTGGCCGCTCAAGAAACAGTCAGGCATAGGAAAGGGTTTTGTGGCTCCCGGTGTTTTCTTTTCTGTGGGGAAACAGGTCCAAATGGCTCTTTTGAGTTTTAAGGTTGCAGATCCCTGACCTGCAACGTTTCCAGACTTTTGTTCCCTCTCTGGGTGGGAGGATATATTAGGTTTTTGATATGGGGGCTTTGTGTGCTCTGCAGAACACTCCTCAGCTTCCAAAGGGAACAGGTGTGAAGCTACCCTAGCACAGGTAGTCCTCGAGTTACAACACTTCCTTTAGTGACCGTTCAAAGTTGCAACGGCACTGGAAAAAAAAGTGACTTATGACCGTTTTTCACTTATGACTGTTGCGGCATCTCCATGGTCAAGTGAACAAAATTCAGAAGCTTGGC